TCCAATGTATATGTGTACATCATTAGATCTACATCATTACATGTACATCATTAGTTACCAAGTAATTATTAAGGGGAACATATGTACTCCTGGCTGTTTTAAAAACCTCAGCTCTTTTAAAAAACACAGCTGCAATGACAGCATTTATGGAAGCTATGGCTGGAATGATTCTTTTTTACAACCCCTTGGGTTAGCCTATAGGTAACACCTCTAATATTAAATTGTGATGCTCTCTCTAGTGGTTTTTTGGAAAATCCATCAAATGTGATCAGGATCATCTTCATCCAATGTAACTCCCTCTCCAAAAGGCTGTTCCTTGGGCCACTGTAATATTCTTGCATACTCAATCCAATGTTCAGGGAGCCTAGGCATTGATGCAATGGTACACATGGGAAAATTAACCTATGGTGGATAAAGTTCCAGTGTACATTCAATACAGGCTATCATTCCAGGTAGAATTACCCTAGCATTTCCTTTAAAACCTTCTGTTCTCCTTCTATCAAAGGAATAATGGCACTTGGATCTGATACTCCATCTTCATAATTCAGAAGTAATATCAGCATGCCATTTATTCAATGGCTTCTAGCAATAATGGAGTGTAGACTACATACAATGATATGAAATTGTCTATAGAAAATATCATCAAAATTTTGAATCTTGTTGAAATGTGGAACTACTGCGCAATTAGGAATTAGGAATTCTGTAGCAACTTCAGCTTTGGGTCTTCTGACATCCTCAGGCCTAAACAAAAATTGCCTGTCTTGGTTGGAAACATGATGTCCTATGGTGTCCATGTCTATTACATGAATTTGTCTGAAACCAAACAATGCCAGATTTTTCAGGAGTTCACATGCTGATCCTCCTTCTCTAATGACTAGCACTTTACAAGCATCTAACAAAAACCAAAGAGATTCAGTACTTGGTTCAAAATCAGCACGTACGAATGGTCCAGATCGCTCCAGGAACTTCTTTACATGGTTCCAGTGACTGTCCCAGTTTCCAGTGCCCCACACCCACAATCAACAGTCAAATAGCCTTCTTTGTAGTTTCCCCAGCAATTCTTGTCAAATAGGGAGTTCCTTTCTAGGTAATTTATATTTTGAGATTTATAGAATGCTGAATTGTTGGGTTCAGTTATTTCAGATTCTGTATTATTTAGTTTCTTCCATTGATTTTTTTTCTATTTTTAAACCCAACTAAATAGTTTTAATGACTACTGCTTTCTAATATAGTTTGAGGTCTAGAAGAGCCCTTTATTCCTGCCTTTTTCCACACTTATAAAGAGATACATGGAGCACACACATCTTTATGGTAGTTTAATACCTGTTATCAACCTTTTTTTTAAACACTAACTTCATTAATTTTAAAAAAAACTTTATACTTTCTTCAGTTCTCTGCTCCCTGATGTCACTCCAAATTTGTATTTAATAGTTATAAGCCCATTAATCAAGTCTACCCTGTTGTTCATTGGGCTGGGCCTTACAGCCAGAAAGATTTGGGTTTAAGTCCACCCTTTGACCCACATTGATTGCATAACCCTGAACAAGTCTCTAAACCTCTCAGTGCCCTAGGTAACTTTCTAAAACTAAGTTTCACAAACAAGGTGCCAACCTGCACTACTACAAGAAATGTCCTCATCTGGCAGTTCCCCACACCAATGAATCACAGGTACAGGTCCTATCTCTCATCCACCTCATAAGAGGTGATTCTGTGATTCAATCCTTAGGAGCAGAAGAATTGGTTTTATAACTTTTAATTCAGGAAATGCAAGAAGTCAGTCAAGCTAATCCTGAGGCTCTGCAAAAACAAACAAACAAACAAACAAATAAATAAACAAATGAGTAAGTAAATAAATAAAGAGTAAATAAATAAATGATTGTAATTCCTGGAGACAGGAACTGTTTTATTTTCCCTCATAGTTCTTGTAGTGCCTTAGACAGCGCACTGAATATAGTATGTAGCTAACAAGTGTTTGTGGAATGCAAAAATGAATTAATGTACTATATTATAATATCTCGCAGTGGGAAATGAGTTGGGCTGACCAATATTTAAAGAGAAAAGTGTATGTGACACTATCACAATAATGCCTAAAAAGAGTTGTCTCCTGCTCTTGGCCTTTTTCCCCTTCTCCTCAAAGCTTGTTCCCACTCTGACTGCTTCATGAATCAAGTGGCAAAGCAGATCAACAATGAGAGAAGAAAGGATGGCATTTTCTAATTTCAGGAAAGAAATGCAACAATTTCTGTCCCCAAAAGATTTGCAGAATTTGAGAATGTCAGTGCTGGAAGGAACAAACACCCTTATTTTATCGAGGAGACAATTTAAGCTGGGAGGGTGGGGTGATGAAAGGTACTTACCCAAAGTAGATCCCAGCTTTACTGAATACTAGCTTAGTCTTCTTTAAGTTACATTTGTCCATTCTTCCTACTGGGAAGGCATCTGGGTCACCAGGAATCTGTCACTATCATTCTTGGGACATTGTGAGCAAAATTCTTTAAAATGGAGAATTAAATGTCCAAAATCTGTGATTCTGCTATCGAAGGTACTTGTTCCATTTACTAGATCAAAAAGAATGGGCATCGAAGAACCTTGATTCATATCCTACTTACAATGCTTACTTTAAGCAAATCCTTTAACTTCTATGGACCTCTGTTTCCTCATCTGTGGAGTAAGAAAGAAATATGAGGCAGCCAAGTGGTGCAAAGGATAGAGCAGTGGGCCTGGACTCAGGAAGACCTGACTTCAACTCTGGCCTGAGACACTTGTTAGCTGTGTGACCTTGGGCAAGTCACTTAAGGGTTATCGGCCAGTTTCCTTAACTGTAAAATGGGAGTGATAATAGAATCTGCTTCCCAGGGAGGTATCTGTAAAGTGCTTGGCACATAGTAGGCACTTAATAAATGCTAGCTACTCTAAGAATGTAGGGGTTGGACTAGACCGCCTCTAAGGTCCCTTCATGCTCTTAATCTATAATCTATGTATTAAGCATATATCATTTGCAAATCAATGTAATCACAGGTCTGGTAAAACAAATAAATACATAAATGAAAAACAAAAGCTAAAAAAACTTCTCCATGTATCATATTCAGATCACAATCATTACAGACTGGCTGTCAGGAACAAGACATTCTATCTTTCAGCTCTGGGCATCTCTCTGGTGGTCCTCCTATGTCTGGCATTCTCTTCCTCGTCTGCTCTGACTGCTGACCCCCCTGCCTTCCTTCAAGTCCCAACTAAAACCCAGCCTTCTACAGGAAACTTTCCTCTGCCCCTTTTAATTCCTGAGCCTTCCCTCTGTTAATTATTCCTATTTAACCTGTACGCAGCTTGCTTTGTATATATGCTCCCACGTTGTTTCCCCCATTAGACTGTAAGCTCCTTGAGGGCAGTGACTGTCTTTTGCCCCTGTTGTATCCCCAGCGCTTAGCACCTGGAACACAGTGGGAGCTTCATAAATATTGATTAACCATTCCCCAATTGATAAATGGAAAAAGGATATGAACAGGAAGTTCTGAGATGAAGAAATTAAAGCTATCTGCAGTCATATGAAAAAATGCTCTAAATCACTATTGATTAGAGAAATTGCAAATCAAAACAATTTTGAGGTACCATATCACAGCTATCAGGTTGGCTAACATGACAAAACAGGAAAATGATGTTTTAGAAGATGTGGGAAAATTGGAACATTAATCCATTGTTGGTGGAGTTGTGAATTGATCCAACCATTTTGGAGAACAATTTGGAACTATGCCCAAAGGGCTATAAAACTGTGCATACCCTTTGACAAAGCAATACCACCTCTAGGGCTGTATCCCAAAGAGATCATACAAATGGGAAAAGGACCCACATGTACAAAAATATTCATAGCAGCTCTTTTTGTGGTGGCCAAGAATTGGAAATTGAGGGGACGCCCATCCATTGGGGAATGGCTGAGCAAGTTGTGGTATCTGAATGTAATGGAATACTACTGTGCTATAAGAAATGATGAACAGGATGACTTCAGAAAAACCTAGAAAGACTTGTATGGTCTGATGCTGAGTGAAGTGAGCAGAACCAAGAGAACTTTGTACACAATAACAGCCACGTTGTGCGTTGACTAATTTGGATAGACGGCTCTTCTCAGCTATGCAAGGATCTAAGACATCTCCAAAGGCCTCATGATGGAAAATGCTATCCACATCCAAAGAAAGAACCATGGAGTTTGAATGCTGATCGAAGCATACTATCTGCTCTTTTTTTTGTTTCGTTTTGTTTCTTCTTTCTTTTTTTGTTCCTCTTATTGGTTCTAATTCTTCTTTACAACGCGACTAATGTGAAAATATGTTTAATAGGAATGTATATGTAGAGCCTAAATCAGATTGCATGACGTCTTGGAATGGGGGGGGAGAAAATTTTAAACTTAAAAGCTTATGGAAGTGAATGTTGGAAACAAAAAATAAATTATTAGTAAAAAAGTAAACATTGACTAATCCTAACCCTAAAACTCTCTCGAGCGTCAACCCTCTCCTCATATCTGGGGGCACGATGTACTACTAGTATTACGGTAGCCAAAAGACTGGGATGAAGTTTCGCTCAATTAAAACTTAAAAGAGAAAGCGGGTAGCCGTAATAAGTCACACCAGTCGGAGGCCACCGGCCTCTGTGGTAACGTATGCTCGAAGCTGTTAGGCCGGTCAAACAGACCCGGGCATAACCGATCTAATAAGGGCTGACGTCCATTGAGTGGACCCAGGTTAGAGCCAGTTGTGCCAGGCGCATGCGCCGCGAAGTCGCGCGCCCAGTACCCCAGGTCGCCTAGTTCATCTCTCTTCCGGTCCTAACATCTGCCCACTGGAACCCGAGCAACCTGCCCACCCGAGAGGGCCGGCGTAGCACCCAAGGTCTATCTTTCGATCCAAGTTTATTGGCTGCAAGAATCCGGAGCGGGCGGTCCCAAATATGATTGGCCAGGGCGCGAGCAGCTGCTGCCGAACCGCCCAATGGCGTCGGAGCGCGTGAGCGAAGGGGGAGGGGCCTTCCCGGTGTGTGGGCCGCCCAGTCGCTTAGAGCTGCGGCGTGAGCTGGCCCTGAGTGGACTGTATCCGGCTGGCTGTCAGAACTACGGGGTTCGGGTTCGGGTTCGGTTTGGGCCATGACCGCCGAGAAGCCGCTCGTCGCCATCACTTGCACCGCCCCCACCAACATCGCGGTCATCAAGTACTGTGAGTGGGGGAGGAGGCGCTGGAGCGGGGGAGGGGGAGTCACGGGAAACGTTTCCCCCCGAACGCCGGGCTCCGAGTTTCGGGTTCCGGAGGTATTTGGTTTCCGAGTGACCGACTCTGGAGCTGCAAGGAACCTGGAAACCATCCAGGACAGGCGCTCTTAGCTCGAGAGCTGTGCTCTGGGATGGGGGAGGGAAAGACATCTTTAGTTCAGTAATAGAATGTTAATATTTGATTAAAATATTATTAAAACAAAATAATATGTCAATAATGTAATAACCCCAGGCACACAAAACATTGTTTATGTTAGTAATAAATAATTCTTAAAATAATATTTTAAATAATATTTAAGAATAAAAATAATAAATAAATAATGTGCACCTAAAAACATTCCAAGAAGGGGTGCATAGGCTTCACCAGACTGTCAGAGGCCCATAGCACTCAGAGAGGCCAAGAACCCCTGATCTAGCCCAACCCCTTCATTTTGCAAAGGACGCGCTGAGGCTCAGAGAGAGCAGATGACTTGCCCAGCGATCGATCGCACAGCTAATTGATTAGCAGCAAGGGGTTCAAACCCAGGTTCTCTTATTCCACCTTCAAGGAAGGTGCCTCTCAGTGGTGACTTTCCTGAAACACAAGTCCCGGAATGTCACCCCCTCACTGAGTAAACTTCAATGGCTCCCTATTGCCTTCAGGATCAAAGGCAGAATCCTCAAAATGGAGGAGATCGTGCTTTCACAACCAGCTTCACAGAGCTGTTGGGTAGGTAGTGGAAAAAAACCCTGGACTTGAAATCAGAAAAACTTGGGTTTGATTCCAGGCTCTACCTGTTTGAGTAATGTTTGGAAAAAAAAAATAAGATGGATAGAGCACTGGCCCTGGATTCAGAAGGACCCGAGTTCAAATTTGGCCTCAGACACATAACACCAACTGTGTGACCCTGGGCAAGTCACTTAACCCCATTGCTTAGCCAAAAAAAAAAAAAGGCCCTCAACCTCCTGAGGCCTATAAAATGAAGGAATGACCAGGGAAGATGCTATTTAAGATCCAGTCCACTTCTGACAATCTGATTTTTCTGTGAGGAGAGTGCTTTGTAGATCTTAAAGCATTCTGTGCTGTCAGCTTTATTTCCTTGTAACCTCCTGAAGGTCTATGATCTGGTTATACACTTTTTTTTTAAATCTTAGTGTTTGGCACAAAGGAGATGCTCATGAAATATTTGTTGAGTATGTGTTGCTAGGAAGATAGAGATGTTCTGTAGAATTCTATCTTTTCTAGTCCTGTCCTTCCCAGAGTTTACACGGATTCATACATTCATCCTCAAATGCCACAAAAGCCCAATTCTGCCGTGCCTCCTTGTGGCGTGGAGATAAGCCTGACTTCTGGAGCACTGTAGCAGTAGATTAGGAGCGTTCTCACTGCCTGTCCCCCGTGTCTGGAATTTTCTCCTTCCTCATCTCTGCCTCTTGCCCACCTTGGCTTCCTTCAAGTCACAGGCCAAATCTCCTCCCTTACAGGAAGCCTGTTCCTGTCCCCTTTAATCCGAGTGCTTTCCCTCTGTTAGTTTCCGATTTCTCCTGGCTATTGCTTCTTTGTAGGTAGTCACTTGCCCACTGTCTCCCCATTAAACTGTGAGCGCCTGAAGGGCAGGGACTGTCTTTTACCTTTCTTGGTGTCCCTGTTGCTTATAGCACACTACCTGGTACATAGTACGCACTTGGGCAGCTGGTTGTGCAGTGGTTAGAGCACTGGGCCTGGAATCAGTTCTGTGACCCTGGGCAAGTCACTTACCTTCTGTTTGCTGCAGGTCCCTCCACTGTAAAAACTGAGATACTGACAGTGTAACAGATAGTAGCAGGGTGGTTGCAAGGACCGAATAAGATAATGTTTGTAAAGCACTTAGCACGGTGCCTGGTGCATGGCAGCTGCTATTTGAACACTAGCTCTTGTTATTGTTATCGTTGCTGACTGTCAGCAGTTGTCATTGTTATCGTTGCTATTGACTGTCAGCTTGAACGTGCTTCCAGGGAGGTCCAGGTGGCACACCGCATGTCTGTTGTTTGGGGACCAGAGGGCTGAGTGCACAGAGACATTGCCTGGAGCTGGGCCACCGGCGGTTTTGACTACTGAGCTCATGAATTACAGTCTGTTAAAAGTGTAGGGAGGATTGGGTCTGCATCAGTGGAGAGAGTCTTCACCCTGCTGCAATGTCTGACTCTAGGGTGTTTTGCTGAGGTCCTTTGAAAGGTTTGCTGAGAGTTTTAAATCAGCAAAGGGAGGCAGCCTGTGGCTTGGGGGAGAATAGAAGTAGAAGTAAAGGTAGCAGGCAGGTGAATTAGGACCTGTTGAAGAAGATAAAGGACAGTCACCTGGACTTTTGTACCTCAGTTCCCAGAGGTCAGTCTGGGAAAGCTTTCTCAAAGGGGTAGGACTTAAACTTCATTTTGAAAGATTTACATAAGCAAAAGGGAGGGGAAGGACTTTACTGGCCTGGGAACTACACTTCTCAGGTTGGGTGTGAGTGGGTGTACATGGGACTGGGAAGAGATAGACTTGCCTAGAGCAGAACCCTCTTGCAGAGTAGCGGGAGGTCAGATTGCCTCAGTAGAGTAACAGCAGTCATCTGGGTTTTCTTGCTCTTCCAGGGGGAAAACGTGATGAAAAGCTGATTTTGCCCATCAATTCGTCGCTGAGTGTCACTTTGCACCAAAGTCAGGTATGTACAAATGCAGAAGCTACTTCTCCCCCAGCTGGGAGCTGAGATCCCACACAAGTCCATATACCATGTATTAACTGGAAGACTTTGCCTGTGGAGGAGTGGGAAGAGAAGAGGCAGCAATAGTGTTCTCAGTCTGCAGCCTCCACATGCCAGCTTTCCACCAGAGGAGTTCGAGATTCATGACCCCTCCTGAAGGACTCTTTTGATGATGATTTCACAGGACCAACACTTCTGCACTAAAAAATAAGGGACCCAAACCATTTATGCTAGAACCCTGGCCTGGCAGGTAGGATTATGGACCTAGTCCGGGGTCTCTGCCACCTACCCTACAACCCCATGCATGGCCGTGTCTGCCTCTATTTCCTGATTTCTAAAATATACTTAAGGACTAGACTAGGGGTTGGGAACCTTCAGCCTCGAAGCCACATGTAACCCTCTAGGTCCCCAAATGCAACCATGGCTTTGTTCTGTGAAGTTTGGATTCAGTCAGAGAGCCGCACTTCAAGACCTAGAAGGCCATGTATGTGGCCTTGAGGCTGAAGGTTCCCTACCCCTAGACTAGACCTATGATTCACTGTCATAAGGCACTCCCTGGCCAGGTAGGGCCCTCTCCCAGTATAAGATGGAACCTTCTCTATAACTTAGAGCCTTAGAGAGTATTCTGGAACCCTCAAAAGTTAAGTAACTTGTAGTTAAGTGACCGGTAGGTATCAGAGGTGGGATTTGAACATGGGTCTTCCTGGCTTTGTGGTTGGCTTTCAGTCCCTTAAGCCACAGTGCCTCATTTCTTTTCTTTTCTTTTCTTTTTTTTTTTTGAGACAGTCAAGGTTAAGTGCCTTGCCCAGGGTCACACAGCTAGTAATTATTTGAGGCCAGATTTGAACTTGGGTCCTCCTGACTCCAAGGCTGGTGCTCCACATACTGCCTCATTTCCAAGTGAGATCACAGATCCCTTTGAGTGTGTGTAGGGTCCCGTGGAATGTAAGCCTCTTGAGGGCAGGAACTTTTTCTGTCTTTGAATACTCCACACCTAGCACAGTACCTTCCTTATACATAGTAGGGGCTTAGTGCTTATTGAACTTGGGGCAGGGGGAAATCACTATCTTAAAAGACTGAAAAAATTAAATAAGGCTAGCATCTGGCTCCCTGAAAGGTGAAAAAGGAGATCGTGGGTAGTAACTTGTATTAAAATGGACTTGGATATGTGGGAAATGAGTTCAGTTCTAATTAATATTGCCATCTAGAAATTCCTTGTTATTTCCTGAAGGCTGAGGTGACCCTGTTTTTCTTTCCTAGTTAAAAACCACCACCACAGCAGCTATCAGCCGGGACTTCAAAGAGGACCGAATCTGGCTGAATGGCAAGGAGGAGGATATGGGGCACCCACGGTTACAGTCCTGCCTTCGAGAGAGTAAGTGCTGGAGATCTTGAGCTGGTTCCTTTGGCCCTGGGTCACATGCCCTTCTCCTTTGCTAGTTTTCATTTGGGATGAGAGTGGTAATGAACCTGGGTGTCCTGGCTGAAAGAGGGTAGATTAGAAGATATCAATGATGTTTTCCATTTTCCTGACTCCCTTAAAGTAAGGTGGCAGAAGGCTTGGCGACTAACCCTGAGCACTGTTTGGGTACCTCCAGCACCACTCTCCTCATTGTTTCTCAGACCTCTACTTTGGTACATAATGGTTGGAAGCTACAGCGCTGTAGGTGTGGGGGTCAGGAGCTATACAAAGGGAGAAGCTTATGGATTTTGTTATTTTTAATTTTTTATTCTAAAGTTAACAAACACCCAAAATGAGCATTTCTATATACAAAGAGAAAAGGGATTGTACATGAAACTGATAAATCTCTATCATGTGTAGCTTGCTTTTCCTTTTAAGTCTGTAATAAATTCAACATGGTTGGTTATTGCATTGATCAGAATCCTAATTCTGTTTTTCTTAGTTGTTTTTCTTTACACTGTTACAGTTATTATATAAATTGTTCTGCTGGTACTGCTCACTTCACTCTTCATTAGTTCATACAAGTCTTCCCAGGTTTCTCTGAAACCGTCTGTTTTGCCATTTCTTAATATGCAGTAATATTTCATCACAGTCATATACCAAGATTTGTTTGGCCATTCCCTAGTTGACGGACATCCCCTTAGTTTCCAGTTCTTTTTTTTTTTTCCAGGTATATGTAAAAATAATTTTTAACATTTGTTTTTCTAAGGTTTTGAGTTTTGCTTTGATCTGCATTCAGATTCTATCAGCTCTTTCTCTGGAGGTACGCAGCATTTTTCATCATAAGTCCTTCAGAATTGTCCTGGATCATCATATTGCTGAGAATAGCTAATTCCTTCACAGCTGATCGTTGTACGATATTGCTGTTACTATGTAAAATATGCTCCTGGTTCTGCTCGCTTCACTTTGCATCAGTCTTTCCAGGTTTTTCTGAAAGCATCCTGCTCATCACTTCTTACAGCACAATAGTATTCCATCATAATCATATACCACAACTTGCTCAGCCATTCCCCAACTGATGGGCATCCCTTCAGTTTCCGATTCATTGCCACCATGAAAAGAGCTGCTAGAAATATTTGTGTACGTGTGGGTCCTTTTCCCTTTTGTGTACGTGTGGGTCCTTTTCCCTTTTTGATGATCTCTTTGGGATACAGCCCTAGTAGTGGTATTGCTGAATCAAAAAGGTATGCACAGTTTGGTTACCCTTTGGGCATAGTTCCAAATTGTTCTCCAGAATGGTCAGTCTAGTTCACAACCCCACCAACAAAGCTTCATTTGGTGTCTCAATTTTCCCACGTCCTCTCCAACATTGGTCATTTTCCTTTTCTGTCATATAAGCTGATCTTTTCGGTGTGAAGTGGTGCCTCACATTGTTTTTATTTCTCTATTCAACAGTGATTCTCTAATCAAGCATTTTCTTATGACTATAAATAGCTTTGATTTCTTCATCTGAAAACTGTTGGTTTATATACTTTTACCGTGTATCAGGTGGGGTATGACTTGTATTCTTATAAATTTGACTCAGTTCTTTATATATTTTTGAGAAATGAGGCCTTTATCAAAGAAACTTATAAAAAACTTTTTTACAGTTATGATTACTAAGTCTGTATTTCCCTCCATCCTCTTTTTTCCCTTGTTTGTCCCTCTCTTTCTCTCCTTTCATCCTGTCCCTTCTCAAAAGTGTTTTGATTCTGATTACCACCTCCCCTGTCTCACACTCCCTGCTATCATCCCCCCAACCCTTTCTCTTATCCCCTTCCCCTCCTACTTCCTCATAGGATAACATAGATTTCTATACCCAACTGAGTGTATATGTCATTCCCTCTTTGAGCCAGTTCCAGTGAGAGTAAGGTTCTAGCATTATCCACCCCACCACCCTCATCCTCCCCCTCCACTGAAAAGCTTTTTTGTACCTTTTATGTGAGATAATTTACCCCGTTCTATCTCTCCCTTCCCCTTTAATCCCTCTTTCTCATCCCTAAATTTTTTTAAATATCACCCCATCGTAGTCAGTTTACACCTGTGCCCTCCATCAGTGTATTCTTCTAACTGCCCTAAGAGTTCTTAGGAGTTGCAAATCATCATCTCACCATGTAGGAATGTAAACAGTTTAATCTTATTGAATCTCTTATGACTTCTCTTTTCTGTTTACCTTTTCATGCTTCTCTTGAGTCCTGTATTTGAAAGTCACATTTTCTATTCAGCTCTGGTCTTTTCATCAGGAATGCTTGAAAGTCTTCTATTTCATTATATCTCCGTTTTTACCCCTGAGGAATGATACCCAGGTTCGCTGGGTAAGTGGATTCTTAGTTGTAATCCCAGCTCTTTTTCCTTTTGGAACATCATATTCCAAGCCCTCCAGTCCTTTAATGTAGAAGCTGCTAACTCTTGTGTTATCTTGACTGTGGCTTCACGATGTTCGAGTTGTTTCTTTGTAGATGCTTGCAGTGTTTTTTTATTGATCTGTGAGCTTTGGAATTTGGCTGTAATATTCCTAGGAGTTTTCATTTTGGGGTCTCTTTAAAGTGGTAGGTCATTGCATTCCTTCAGTTTCTGTTTTCACCTCTGGTTCTAGGCTGTCAGGGTAGTTTTCCTTGATATTTGTAGCCCAGGATCTAATGTGGTACCTGTCATCTAGGGTTTCTTTGCAAATCTTTGCGAATCAGCTGATTTCCCAAGTGTTGGGAATTCTCATTTTCTGTTCTTGGCACAAGCGTTCGAAGGACACGGTAGCGCTCAGAGCTGGGTGTGCCACCCCCCTTCTCTTGTTGGTCCCAGCAAGCATTGAGTAAGCACCCACTCTGTGCTAGGCCGATCAGTGGTGCTCCGAGGCCGATGAGGAGACAGCCTGCCAAACAAGGTCCAGAGAGGGGAGTGGGAAAGCCACATCAGAAGCAGTCACAGAAGGGCTGACCGGCCCTGGCCCCTGGCCTTTGTTCCTCTCTCTTTTCCCCAACAGTCCGTCGCCTGGCTCGGAAAAGAAGGAGCGGGAGTGATGGTGATTCTGTTCCTCTGTCCTACAAGGTGCACATTGCGTCCGTGAATGACTTCCCCACGGCAGCAGGCCTGGCCTCCTCGGCAGCAGGGTACGCCTGCCTTGGTGAGTGGTGTTGGAAGCGGGGCCCACTAGGAATGTCTGCAGATCTGCCTCCCCAGACCAGGGAGGGCCCGGGACTCTGGGGGGGGATTGGGGTAGGGGGTGGCTCTGATTGATCAGCAGCAGCTCCTGGTTTCTGGGAGGTACGAGGGCCCTGGGGAGCTGACCAGAGGCCTGCCCTCACTACTCGGCATCTTTTAGGCCCATCTCCCAGCTATTATGTAATCACAGATATTGCTGTTTTCTGAGCCATCCTCATGGTAGTGTATAACTGCACAAATAAAACCTCTGCTGGGAGATAGTGACTGCACCTGCGATTGTAATCCCGGTGACTGTGGCTGCGTGTGTCATCTCTCCTCTCCATTCCTTTGCCCACAGTCTACACTCTGGCCCAGCTCTACGGGGTTGAGAGCGAGCTCTCAGAAGTGGCTCGGCAAGGCTCGGGGAGCGCTTGTCGCAGCATGTTGGGGGGCTTCGTGCAGTGGCACATGGGAGACAGGCCCGACGGCAAAGACAGCCTTGCCCAGCAGGTCGCGCCAGAGTCCCATTGGCCAGAGCTCCGGGTCCTGGTTCTGGTGGTGAGTGGGACCTGGCTTGGGAGCGGATGGAAGCTTCTCCAACAGTATTTCCCATTCTGAGGGCCGGCCTTCTGGGAGGAGGCCCGAGAAACCACAGCTGCTTCCCTCAAGTCTGTGGCCTAGATGATTCTGGGTGGTTTGTCTGGGGAAGCCTCAGGGAAATGTAGAAGAGCCCTGTGACCCTCCATCCCTGCCGGCATAGTCTTAGCTGGTCCACAGATAGTGTGTCCTGTTCATTCATTCATGCCACAGCTTACACTTCCCAGACTGTGTACGTCTCCATTTTCCAGAGGCCAACTCTGATACCTCCTCCATGAAGGCATCCCTGACTCCTCTCCCCCTCGTCGCCCCATTTCCTCTGAACTTTTCTGGCACTTCAGTCTGTACCACCTTCTCTAATGGTCTGCCTTGGGTTGTCTGTGGTTATTTCCTGTGTGTCAGTCTTGTCTCGAGCTCCTAGAAGACAGCTAGTCTGTCTGTATTTTCTCCAGCACGTAGTTCATTACCTCGCAGAGCTCCCTGGTCCGTGAAGGGTTGGTTTGGGGAGTGCTGGGAGGTGTGCTCTTTTGAGGTTGCTGCGCTGTGGTACCTAACATATTCTTTCTTGGGTTAGGTGAGTGCTGAAAAAAAAAAAGTGACCAGCTCATCTGGAATGCAGACCAGCGTAGAAACCAGCTCTCTGCTCAAAGTAAGGCTTGGCCTGGGGCCCGCAGGGGGATGGAGCGGGAGGGGGCCGGTGGTAGCCGGCCCATATCACACCCTGGGCCACCAGGCCTTGCCAGAGTCACAGGACTCCTCGGCCTCTTGGCTTCCAGATCAGCATGTCTGTTCCTTCCCACCCTCTGGCCTTTCCCTGGATAGTCTGAAGCTGGCTGGTTTCTTTGCAGTTCCGGGCTGAGTCTGTGGTGCCCGGGAGGCTGGCAGAGATGGCACGGTGTATCGCGGAGCGGGACTTCGAGGGGTTTGGCCAGCTGACCATGAAGGACAGCAACCAGTTCCATGCCACCTGCCTGGACACTTTCCCTCCCATCTGCTACCTCAATGACACGTCTCAGCAGATCATGGGCCTGGTCCACCGCTTCAATGCCCACTACGGCAAGACCAAGGTAAAGCGGATGTGCCCAGAAGAGCAACGGCTGCTTGTATGGGACCTCAACGCCTCATGGCCCACGATTCCCCGGAGCAGGGGGCCAGGCTCACAGCTCGACCCAGGGCATGCAGATTGGTGGCCAGCAGGGATCCCTTTCTGATTGAGTTGGACGGCCCTGCCCTAGAGCCCTGTGTGGTGTTCACAGCCCCTGAGGAAGGCAGGAGGGAGAAGAGGTCCATGCGGAAGGGCCAGGGAGCATGCCCATTTCCAGGCATCTGGGGTCCCTGTCCATCTTGGGTTGATGGGGAATGAAGCCTCCGATCCTCTTCCAACTCTAAAACATCAGCATCTATAAACTTTTCTCTCTCCTACCATGGCCCCTCACACAGTGTGGACTGATGCCAGGCTTCTTCCTTCCTAGATCCTGTGAGACCTCTGAGGTACAGGGAGACCCCTTTGCTCTCTTGGTGGCCCTCGGGCACCTCTTAGGGAAGTCGGGGCTCTGGTGCTTTAAGGACGAGGCCCTGGGGAGCCCAAAAGTTCCTTGTGCTCCCTGCTGGCCTGGGAGCAGAGGAGCTGTCACAGGCACATCCATGTCCCCTGTCCTGCTTTTCAGGTGGCGTACACGTTTGATGCAGGTCCCAATGCTGTAATCTTCACCCTGGAAGAAACAGTGGATGAATTTGTCACTGTCATAAAACAGATCTTCCCCCCAGAGATGAACGGAGACAGGTGAGTTGCATGACCTGTTTTCTCTTTTTTCCCTTTTCCTGAATGGCTGTGGCTGACTTATGTATTTGTTGAGGTACAAAGAAAGAGAAATAGTATCTGCTTCAACCAAAAGGTTAAACTGAAAATCCCTGAGTCTGTTACCCACTTTAATTTGCTATTTGAGATGAGGATCATGATGTGCGAACTGTTGCAACTGTCTTGTGTAATGATAGTGGGCAGCATTCTCAGAGTCCAGTAGCATCACTGGTTATCCTGGGAGGCCTGCAGTAGGAAGTGGGCTTCCCAGGCTAGTGTCTCGTTTCCCTCCTGAAGCCAGAGAAGAGAGCTGTTACACTGTTTGCCCAGTATTCTGATTGTGGGAGCCTAGCAGTGATAGCAGGAGCAGAGTGGGCAGTGGTGCTGGCCTAAATGGAAGCTGGTCTGGGGCAGCCTGGGAGGAAGGAAAGAGAGGATAAAGGTGCCTCTTGGGAGCCAAGTCACCATTCAGACTCCCAAGGGGCCAAATTCTGGCTGTGGGGTACAGTTAGGAGGGTGGAAGCCTCTTTAAAAGTGTTCTTGATGGAGCAAAGGAGCTGGGCCACCAAGAGAGCAAAGGGGTCTCCCTGTACCTCAGAGGTCTCACAGGATCTAGAAAGGAAGAATCCCGGCATAGTCCACACTGTGTGAGGAGCCATGGTAGGAGAGAGAAAAGTTTATAGATGCTGATGTTTTAGAGTTGGAAGAGGATCGGAGGCTTCATTCCCTATCAACCCCTCTGCCAGCACTTCTCCGTGCACTGACTAGTCTCCACCATCTGTTTCTGGGTTTTCTCCTCACCTCTCCTTACTACTTTCTGTGTAAGCACTTGTGGGGAGAGAAGGAATCCGTGTCTTGGGAGATAAAGGAGTAGTTTTGAAATTAACCTGTGGAATTTGTTGTGGACTTGGACGGAGAAGCAAGCTGTGTGTGGGCCAGGTTCATGGCTCCAGTCTGCACAGTGTTGTGCCAACAATCATGTTTTGGGTAGAAAGCACTGACTTTTTTCTTAAAACAACGTAGAATTTTGAAGGCCACGCCTGCGGAGCATAAGCTCTGAGAAGTTCTACCTACTTGATATGGTGCCAGCAGTAGGCTGTGCCCCAGGAAGCAGGGCACGCTCAGGGCCAGGAGCTTGGTCACTGGGTGGGGAATTGGTTAGCCATCCCATGAAATAAAGAACAAAGGGCTGAAAGGGTCCCGTCCCACTTAGGCGAATGGTAGTGGAGGGCATGGATGGGCAGACATCTCTTGGTTTCCTTCATCCATGCTGCCTCAGGGCGACTGATGCTGAAGAGGGTGCTGTCTCCTGGTCATTTTCCTCCCAGGTTCCTGAAGGGCTTGCCCATAAGGCCCGCTGAGCTTTCAGAAGAGCTGAAATCTGCTTTGGCCATGGAGCCATCCCCTGGAGGAATCAGATACATCATTACCACTCAGGTAATGCCTAGAAAGCACTTTCCCCCTCATTGCCAGGGAAGCCCCTGCGGGTCAGCAAAGGAGGCCCCTTCTCTTTCCCCTGATGACCATCCCAAAAAATCATCTCATTTATTACGCTCGCCTTCAAAGGTCCCCAGTTCTTTCTACACGGATTCCCTCTCCTGCCCCAGGGCTTTTAGGCCACTTTTCCTTGCTTGCCATCCATTAAGCAGTTGGCCATGGTATAGTAACATCTTAGGGGAAGTAAAGATAAGCAGATATTTCCCGTGTTTCCTCTACAAATCACATGTTCATAATTGCATGATATGCATGGGACATGATGACCTCCCCTGTCCATGCCTGAGGGGGCGGGAGGCTGCTGCTGGGAAAGGTGCTATAAATGTGAAGCCACAATAGACCTCAGGCACGTGAACCTGTGGGACAGAGAAGACAGAAGAGAAAGAAAAGCTTCCCAAGGAAATTTGGCCAAGGGTGTGGAGAAATGGACCTTAGCCAAGTCAACATTCCAAAATGGCCATCTTGTATTGGGCTGATGTCCTTCTGCCTGGAAGGAATAGGGGAGAGTTTACTACTTGACCCTTCCCTCCTGACCCAGTGAGAAGGCTAGCTAAGGGAGATTCCTGCATTGAACTTCTGCTCTGTCACAGGTGGGGCCTGGACCTCAGGTGCTGGAAGACCCCCAGCAGCAGCTCCTGGGCCCCGACGGCCTGCCAAAGCTGGTGTCCTGAGCTTGCACCATCCCCAGTCATCACGCCCCTCGGGGAGATGCAGCCGAATGGGGAGCGTGGATGCAACTTCTGGTTGTACTATTGGGGCTTGCCAGGACTCGGGCTGGTTTCCCAGTTGCTGCATGTGGCTGGAAAAATATTGTCAGGCAGGGGATTTTGTCAGACACCACCAGCAAGGACTCGGGCTTTGGCTTGACTGTGGGCTCTTCCACCCTCCGGCGGGCGGTAGAGGCGGTGGTTGTCCCTGTCGCGGAGTCTGTCTCCTCTGTGTGCACACGTGCAGAGGTGGCACCGCGTGGCGGGGACCCCGGACGGCCCTCTCCTAGCCCGTCACGTGGAGGCCTGGGCAGGAGCGACAGCAGAGCCTGTCGGAGCTGGTGGCGGCGGCTCTTGTGCCTTTCTCGCTGCTCTTCACCAAAGTCCACGGAGGAAAGAAATGGCCAGTAACTTTTCCACTGAATTGTTGCTGACTCTTCTTGATCCATATTAAATGAATGGGAATGTGCCAGCAAAGCAGCCTCTTGGGAGCCTGCAGAGGGAGGGTGTTTCTTGGGGTGATGGCCTGCGGGGCCAATCTTTTGCCAAACTTTGCTTGGGTGTTCCAGAATTTAAGCCACTGACTATGAGTTTAATTTTGTTTAAAAAAAAAAAGAATTTAAACTGGGTGGTCTCTAAGTGGTCTTTCTTTAAAGCCAGTGATGGCGTGTTAACTGGGCATCTGTGCTACCTTGCCCCACAGAGCTAAAAGGTGGTTGTTGGCATTAATCTTGAGTGGAATGTGAGGTTCTACAAGGGTGACTTCCCTGTGGATCTCTACTGGAATTTCTGTAGGAGTAAACCCCCCTCCCCTTGGCTCTCCAGAATGGTGCTGTCCTCCCTAATCCCCAGACTTTGGGGGAGAGGATGGATGACTTCACAGAGGCAGGGTTCAGCTTTGCCTAAGAAGTGGCAGAAGTCAATTATTTCACCCCTGAAAGAAGCGCTATTGCATCCTCTCTCATCTAGTGTTCTGTTGAAGGGAAGTGTTCCTGTTTGTACGTTACTGTGATAATTTGTGTTCATCACGATGACCCCAGAGCTCCTTCTGAATCTCCAGTGGAAGATCTGATTATAATCAGCCCTGTCAGTGCTCCCTTTCAACATCCCCCCTTCCCTGGATTCCCAGGCCAAATATTTAATTATCCAATACATTCCATTTTCTAACCATGGCGAATAATTACATTTGTCATTTAAACAGTACTGTAACCACATAAGTAAACTGAAAAAAATTAAACTCCAAAAGGATTTTCCCCTTATACTCGATGCTCATAACCCCAGCACCAACACCCTGGGAGCTGAAGGTCAGGGAGAGCCAGTGGTCGCAAGGGTAGAAGCAAAGGACCTGGAGATCCAGAGTGCCCTGAATGATGGCCGTGCAAACGTGCCAAGTAAAATCGGGCTCTGGGCCCACGTCCTCTGGGACGGGCTCTGGGCTGGGTTGTTTCCCTGAGTGAAAACAGCACATAGCCCCCTATAGTTCAGGCTGTGGCTTCAGAGGCCCCACTTCCCACTGATGATACGATTGAGCTGTTTTCTGTTACTGTAAAGAGTGGCTGATGGTGTTACTATTACAGTTGGTTTAGAATTTCCCTTTATTCAGTCCCTTCTCATCCCTCATCACCTCAGATATCCACATTGTCTCTGTGGGGTCTTCTAAAACCACAAACTACAAAATAAAACAAAAGGAAGCATTCACTTCAAAGAGAAGGGGTAAGGAGTGTGATGTCTCCCTCTTCTCACTGGTGAGACTCATGCTACCTTTTTACAGCCAGGGCAGAATTATTCTTTCCTGTCCTGTGTGGGCACTGGTGGCAAGGGCCCTTTTCACAGGGCAAATGTCTCTACTAACGCCTATTTATTTGAAGAAGAGAATAATGAAGATCGTGAAGGGTATTCTGTTAGGAAGCTGGTCTGGATCACAGACATCCTGGATCCCTTTGGCCGCATTCTAGTGATCCCTGGACCCCTTCTCAGAGTCATGTTTTTAGGGGGCTAGGCAATGGGGTTAAGTGACTTGCCCAGGGTCACACAGCTAGTAAGTGTTATGTGTCTGAGGCCGGATTTGAACTCAGGTCCTCCTGACTCCAGCGCCAGTACTCTATCCACTGCACTACCTAGCTGCCCCCAGAGTCATGTTTTTGAATGCATAGGATACATTGAACAACAAAGGACACCAATTCTGGTGAAACACAATTATCCAAAAAAGTTTAAGTCACAAACCCCCCAAATTCTATTTATGGGCCCTGAATGAAAAGCCCCAGTTCTGTAAGACGGCAAAGGTGCATCTCATGAGATTCTCAGATTTTAGCATTTGCCCCATAGGTGTCTATGTCAAGGGCCAGCTTTTCCTAAACCCTCTGCTTTGTAAATGGCAGAACACTGGAAGGAAGGAAGGTGTGACAGAGGCTCATGTTTCATTGCAGGAACAGGCCAGCGCTCCAGAGAGAGGGCCGCCATCTTGCATAGGCAGCTGTATGTCTGGAGCACCTTCCCTCCTTGCTTCTACCTACTGGCACCCATAAGCCCCTTCAAGGTTCATTATAAGCGTCGCCTACTTCAAGAAGTCTTTCCTAATTCCCTCAGTCATTAGTTCTTCCACTTCCAATTGCTGTTGGTTTTTTGTAGCCTGTATTTTTGTCTGTTGTCTCCCCTTTGTAGGATGTAAACCTCTGAAAGGGAAGGGACCACTTCAGTTTTGTATTTGTGTCCCTGTCCCCCAGCACAGTGCCTGGCATGCAATAGGTACTTTACAAATGATTGCCAATTGATTATTTTGCTTAGGAGGATATTGGGGGTGGGAAGGGGTATTTTAATAAGGGTGTAAAATGTGTGATAGCCTAAAGAGGAACTACCATAGTTCATCTGGCCCTTCAGGAAATTGGTCAACTTCCCACAGACCAGGCATAGAAGAGCCTCTGTCCTCTTCTCATGCTTGGTTTCTTTAGCTGAAGAACAGCCTGTTTTTAACTTAGGTCAGGTGTCCCAGTTATAATGCATTATCTCATTTGTTATGTGGCATGACCTTTTGGGGCCTCGGTTTCCTCATCTATAAAATGAAAAGATTGGACTAGATAAACGAAAGTCCATGGGAGTTAGAAAACCTATGAACTACTGCTGTCTCTACCTAGGTAGTACAAGCATTATTGCCTTATTTTACAGGTGAACAAACTGAAACCAACATCAGAGATAGTAAGTGACAGAACCAGAACTAGGTCCTAGGACTCCTGACTTTCTTTGCTCTGCATCAGGAATTCCATAAGGTAGTGGGGTCTGGTAGAAAAAACAATGGCCCTGAAGACAGGAGCCTTGACTTTGAATCCAGGCTCTGGGACAGTAACTGTTCTCTGAACTTCAAGGCTTTGTTCCTGTTAGGGAAGAGCTGTGTTTATCTGAAAGTTTTATTTTAATATAAGAGTTACCAAACAGAACCCTGACCCTTGAGAATGGAGAGGAATGGGGGCTCCCAGAATTTGGGGTACTTATCTATATCCCCTTGTTTGGAGATGGCAGTGTTGGGGTAACAGAGAGCAGGCCTTCACACCAGGAAGACCTGGGTTCAGGTCCTGCCTCTGACACTGACTGGCTGTGACTGTGGGCAACTAGTCAACTCCCTAAGACTAAGTGGCAGAAAAGGTGCCCACCTGCAGTGGCAGAGGGAGCATCCCACTCTGGGAGTTAGTTCCCTGTAGCCATGAAACGATCACAAAGCAGGCGATTCGCTCGATGCCCTCCCAAGGAGGAATGAGGGGCAGAGACTATCACGACAGGAGTGTCTAACGTGAAGTTGGGCGTTCAGGAGTTGGCATCATTGCGGGGATGGGGGAGCCTGGAGAGCAGAGCAGCGCCGAGCCACTGTCCGGGGTCTGGGTGGGGGTCAGGAGACCAGTTAAACAAGGGTCCAGTCTGCCAGATGGGGAGGTTGGGGGCACGGGCAGAAAGAGTGGGAGGGGAGGAGAGAGGAAGAGGAGGGGAAAGAGGAGGAGAAAGAAGAGGAGGAAGAGGAGGAGGAAGCAGTGACCCGCGACCGGGCAGTCCCCGGGGCGGGGCACAGGGAGTGGCGGAGTCGGGGTCCGGCCGCTGGGTGGGTCAGTGCCGGGCTCCCGCAGCCGCCGCGGTCTCCTCCACCTCCTCCTGCTTCTCCCGCTGCCCGCTCTCTGCCGTGATGGGGCAGATCGAATGGGCCATGTGGGCCAACGAGCAGGCTCTGGCGTCCGGCCTCAGTGAGTGGGGACAGGGGCACGATGTGGGGGCAGGGGACGGCTTGGCCCGTCTGGCTCCCTGGGACACTGCCAGCTCTTTCCCCGCCCCTACCGGCGGCCCTGGGCTGTAAACTTTTTTCGGTTTTAATTTAACTTTGAGAAGCCCAGAGTGAGTGTCCCGAACCAGAGGGGAGTGGGACCAGGGATGGGGGGAGGGGGGCGGGAGGTGGAATGGGAAGGAGAAAGGGGCTGCAGGTGGGTGTCTAAAGCTTTGTGAGGGAGAGGAGGAAAAGAGAGATGAAATAAAGAGGCGGCGGAGGTGGGGGAGAGAGAGAGAGAGAAAGAGAGACAGAGAGAGATTGGTTGATTGATTGATTGATTGTTAGAATGTGCAGCTAGGAGACATGCCGGGGTAAAGGCAGCAGCTAGGGGCACCACCCGGCTGTGAGGGGAGGGGTAAGAAGGAAGGGAAGGGAAGCAAAGATGAGGTTAAGGCACAACAGGGAAACACAGAAAACAGGAACTTTGGTGGCACCCATTAACCAAGGAACACGAGCCCCCCTTTCCGCCCCCTCTCCCTCAAGCCCTACTCCATTATGAACTTCAGAAAGACAAGTCAGAGGGAAGCTGCCTTTGCTAGTTTGAGGAAGTGAAATGTAGAAAGGAGAAGTGGAGTTTCTCTCCCTCACATGTCCTCTTCTTCTCAAGCCTTTCTGCTCTTCCTTGTGGTTTCCGGCTAGGTCACCACCCTACTGCTAAGCCAGGGAAAGTCCCTGTCTGCCGCTACAGCCTCCTGTCACCTGACATCTTTTATTCCCCCCCCCCATGTAATTAAGTTAAGTGACTTGCCCAGGGTCACACAGATAGTAAGTGTTATGTGTCTGAGTCTGGATTTGAACTGAGGTCCTCCTGACTCCAGGCCCCCCCCCCCATCTTCTGAGGGAGAAGTCCTCTGCCATCAGCTTTGATCTGAGAGGTAGCTGCTCCCTTTACAATCAGGACTGGGGGCGTGGGAGTTTACACCAGAGCCTTGCCAAGGCCCAACCAGGTCTCTGGGTTCTAGTTCCCCAACCTGTCTTCCCCCAAAACGAACACCTCCAGATCCTCTGAGCTACCACCTCAATATCAGTATGCACATTCACACAGAGCAAATAGAGAAGCTATTTGTGACCTGATCTAAGATCCTAAAATTTAGCACCAGATTAAGATTAAGTCCCATTTTACAGATGAGAAAACCCAGACTTTGAGGAGGAAATAACTTGCTCAAGATCACACGAGTCAGAGGTAGGACCTGAACCCAGGTCCTCTAAGTCCACACACAGCCCATGACTGACCATGGCCAGGGTGAGAGGGGCCCCTTTCTCCCCTCTGTGCTGCCAGCAGACATCTTGGTCCACCAGGTCAGCCTACTTAGAGTTGAGATGCCTTGGACCAGTTGGGTTAAAGCATCACCCCAAAAGCTGAGCTTCAGCTCCCCCCTCCCCCACCTCACTTCACCTTGCCTTCAAGCCCCTCGATGGCTCCCTCCCTCCCTGCAGGAAAGAGAGAAGTGCCCAGTCTGACTTGCTTAACTCCTCAGAGCATAAACTGCGCTTCAGTCTGAGCCGGTAGGTGGGTGGCTCCTTCTTGGGAATATGGGTCCCTGAGACCTTGGGCAACTGTAAAGCCTGTGAGCTGCTACCTCTGTTCAGGTCATGCAAGTGTCATTTACTCCCATTTTACAGACTGGGTATGAAGTAAAGCCCAGGTCATAAAGTCAGTTAGAGGCAGAGTCTGGAATTGAGTCCTGGGGCTTCTGACTTGAAAATTTTGTTGTACTTTGAACCATTCTCAGATCTTAAACTGGAACAACTGTTAGCCAGTCCGGTCATTAGGATCTTTTTTTCCCTTTCAAAAAAATTGTGAAGGATAATCATTTCTTAGCTTAATGAGGCCCTGTGCTGGCAAGTGAACCGAGGAGGGGGAAAAAAAACTTTGAAGATTCTGAAATGTAAAGGTCAGGAAAACAAGGAGGACCCCCCGCCCCAAACAAATGGTAGCAGTTGAATGGAGATCAGGGTTTTCCATGATCGGAAATCTCTCTGTTTGATTGAATTTTTTTTCTTTTTTAAAAAATGAAATTGTATTGATATCTTCTGGTTTTATGTTGCCCAGATTTACCCCTTTATTCTTCCGTCTTCTTTCCCAGAGAGCAACCCCATGTAAGAATTTTTTTAAAGAGAAAAAAACATGAGGAAAACTGATAAATGCAACCAAAAAAAATTCTGAATATATGTGTAATTTTCCACATTTGTGTCCATCCCACCTCTGCAAAGGAGTAGGGAAAGGCATCTTCTCCTATCTCTTCTTTGGGACTAAATGGATGGATTTTTAATTTGTACTACTGGTGAGCCATTTCCTTTATTAAAAAAAAGCCTTCTATTGATACTTGACTTTTTAAGAGCATCACTTCTCAATAATCGTTCCCTCCCTTATAACAAAGGAAATGGTTAAGCATAATAAACTAGCTCATTGAAAGTGCCTGGCTGCATATGCACTATTCTCTACCCCTAGCCCACCACTTTTCTACTGAGAAGAAGGAAGTATTGAAATGCCATGTTAGCCGGCAGCAATAGGGGCTTGCATATTTGTTTAACCGTAAGACAAGAGCAGTCCAGGGAACACTTTAATCCACTTGCTTCTTATAGAACCAGGGTTCTGGGTTCAGTGCTAGCCATTTACTGGTCTTGATCCAGGCAAGAGAACACCGATATTTAACATATTCTTGAGAACTGTAGGGCATCATTTCAGCTCTGACTATGGGCTGCTACCACTAATCTATCTTTCCTTTTTATTTCCTTTTATTTTTTATTCCCTGCCCTTAGCACAGTCTGTGGTACGTAGTTAACAAGTATTTATTGGCCAACTGCCTAATCAGCTAGGGGTTCCCACCTTGGATTTTAGCCCTTTTATGAAGGGGACCTAGTCATTGCCCAGACTTAGGCTTTATTGCTGGGTGTGTGAGGTGGTTAGGAGAACTGACCTTAGACTGGGAAGATTAGAGTCTGGGTCTCACTGCTCATCTACTGTGTGAGTCTGAGCAAATCCCCTCCCTTCTCTGAGCCTAAATTAATTGCCTTAGCTCTAGAGTGAGGATTTTTGCCTTGCTGACCTCACAGAGTGGCTGGGGGAAAGTGCTTTGTAAACCATGATCAAAGTGTACATTACTATAGCTTTTTGTCTAGAGCTGGGATTTCGTAAGTGTCATTTTGAAAAATCCCTTCACTGAAGCAGAGCAACCATCCATCTGTAACTCACAATTTTGCAGGGTTTTTTTGCAGGGTGAAAGTGGTTAAGAGGTTAAGTACATGGTCCCACAGCAAGTAGGTGTGTGTCAGACACAGGATTTAACTCAAGGCTGGCCCTTTATCCAAGATGTATCCCATTAATTACTATTATCACTTTCATAATAATAATTATATAATATACAATTAATAATAGTAGCAAATAATAGTAATTAATTACTATTACTTTTATAATAATAATTATATAATGTAACAACATAATGTTAATGATATAATACTATATCATACTGATAATCATTAATACTGTTAATTATGGTGCACTAATTAGGCCAGTGTTGTTACACAAAAACTCTCCAGTGTCTTGCGTCCCTGGAGCTGCTTCTACTCACAGGCCACAAGTTGGCCACGGACCCTGAGGAAGGGCTTTGCTAGTCTTTTCTTAGCCTGAGTGTGGGCTTCCGTACCCAGAAGGCTTTTCTGGTGCAGCTGGTGAGGGGGGCTGGGCAGTTACTCGTTTCTTCCCAGTTCTGGGAGTTCCACGTGGTTTTAGTGGGCTTACTGTTTGCTGCTCTTGGGAGCAGTGGGTTCCTGCAGAGACTGGATGACTGGGACCTGACAGAGGGGATTATTTTTCAGGTACCATTGGACTAGTGGGGCTTTGAGGCACCTTCCAACCCTGAGATTGATACTGTGATTCTGGAGCTTGGGCAACCCCAATTTTAGGAAGAGCCCAGGGAGCCAAGTTTGTTGGGGTCTGGGAAGAGCAGTTACTGGGGCTTCTTTATTCATTCCCTGTCTCCTTCTGGGCTCAAATTCCCATTCTTCTTTATGCTAGCTCTATGACTTTAGCTTAATCACTTCCTTTTTCTGTGCCTCAGTTTCCTAATCTGTAAAAAGGGGGGATGGGGCTAGATGATCTTTTAGGTCCTTTCCAGTTCTAAAACCTGTGATCAAGGGACACACACACACACACACACACACACACACACACACACACACCCCTTAGGAGAATTTCTGGTTTGCAGTTAGTCTACCAACTAGGGCAAGACTTCTGTCATGGGAAGGGTACTGCAGGTCTGGCGTCCCATGAACTGTGACTGTGGTTTCCTGGGGCATGGTTGGAGTTACTTTTCCTCTGGGCCAGAGTGGGGAGAGCCAGAAGGAAGGAGATGAGAGTCCCTCTGGGAAGGTATCCTCATTTATTTTCTTTCCACTCTGGGATCCCTTCTCATCATAGCGTATGTGACACCATCTCTTGTCACCTCCAGGCCTCTGCCTCTGGTTGAAGGATGCCAGTTCTCTGTTTCCTCTGAATGGAATTTACAAACAGCTTTTGGCGACCTAAATTACTTTATAGAAAAGGGAGGCCAAGTGTCTTTCCTCTCACCAGAGGAAAAAAGTGACAGCTGAAAGGATTTAGGCTAAATAGAAGATAGATCTTATTATCATGGCCCTCAGATTAAGAGGCAGAAAAGACCTTAGCAACTATCAAGTCCAACCTCCTTCTTTTACAAATAGGGAAACTGAGACCCAAAGAGGTAAGCAACTCACCCAAGTTGCACCACAAGTGTCTGAGGTGGATCTGAACCTAGGTCTTCTTGATTTCAAGTATAATGCCCTAGTCTACACCACATTGTCTATCAAAAACCGTCTGAGGTGGAATTCAAATCAGCTTGTTAAGAAGTGCCCCATGACTCTATTTTCCACCTTCCAGTTGGAATAAAGATCGTTAAACACTGAAGGAGGTGCTTGGGGATGAGGGGAGAGTGCTCTCTGCCTGAAGGCCCTTAAAAACGGTGCTGCTGCCGAGTCTTGGCCCTTTCTGTTTCAGTTTCAGTTCAGCCGATCAACCAATAAGCACTTAGTAAGTATTTAGTACGTTCCAGACACTCTGCCAAGCTCTGGGGATAAAAATACAAGTGAAAAGAAAGATCGGCTCAGGTTCTTAAATGTCCCAGACAGTGAGTGGACACGTTAGAGTAATAGCAACTGTTGTGGAAGGAAAGGAGCTTAGTGGGGTACCTAGAGCTGGGCTCCCATAGAAAATTCCAAGAGTTCCGAGGGAGTGGGCAGGCCTCTTTCAAGCTCTGAGCAGCCTTTGAAAGTGCCCAGATCTGTCTTGGGAACACTGTCCCCTAGCCATCCCTCCCTCTGTCTGCATTCCCTCCTCTCCGCCATGTTATAGTCATACCTGCCATCGCTATGGGGAAGAGCTCAGGATTAGAAGTCAGAGGACCTGGGAAGGAGCACCAGCTCAGCTGCTTACTACATGTAGAACTTTGGATAGGTCTTGTCCCCTCTCTGAGGATCAGTTTACTTCACTGTCAAATGAAGGACTGGTCTGAAGGGCTGTTTCCTGGGGGTTATGCTTCAGCTCACTCTGCCCGAAGCTTTTTAGCTCTAGGTTAGACAGAGGGATGCAGCCCCTACTCTGCCCTCTCCTCATCCATCAATCTTCGCTCTGATGCCAGAAAGAATTGATCTCATGGGGATAGGTAAAGGCCCTGCTTCCACAAGGCAAGAGGAGATGCCCCCTACAAATCCCATTTGCGAGAGTGAACATGAACACTGACATTCATACTCCGACTGAAATCCATGAGATCAGATCTCTGGGGAAGAGGGGAAGGTGAGAGAGGGGCAGAGAACACAGGACAATGGACTCCTGGAAGTGGAAGAAGAAAGGGGAAGCCCTGAGCTTCTTGGCTTCCATGGTCTCTAAAAGCCAATGATTTCATGGTGTCTAAGATTTCCTCCAACTTTGAGATTCTGTAACTCTGCTGTCTTATGAGGTCGCACAGTCTGCTGGCTCTCAAGGGATGGGCAGCACCTCTATGGGTGTGTGTGTGTGTGTGTGTGTGTGTGTGTGTGTGTGTGTGTGTGTGTGTGTGTGTGTAGGGGAGATATCACCACCTTCCAAGTCAGACAGTCACAAAACGGGGAGCAAACCCAAGGTATAGGGATGGGTATACCAGGTGGGCTTTGTAAAGACTGGTTGGTTGAGAGAGACAGAGAGAGAGCAAGAAGGAGGGAGGGAGAGAAAGAGGGGGAGGGAGGAGAAGAGAGAGAGAGAGAGAAAGAGAAGGGGAGGAGAGAGAGAGAGAAAGAGAAGCACCCTCATATTCATTCATTTAGCAAATTTATTAAACACCTATAATGTGCCGAGCACTGCATGAGGCAGTGGGGATACAGTGAAACATCCCCTGCCCCTGAGAAGCTTACATTCTATAGGGAAAACAACATAAACAGATAAATAAAATACCAAATACATAGTCCACCCCTCCAGGCTTGGAAAACAGAGGGAGGGGACACTCATGGGTCCCTTCTGTTCAGGGGACAACTTCCCAATATCTCATGGCTTTTACTGGTTCTGGCCTCTGAGACTGCCCACAAACCTGACTCAGTTTCCCTTCTCTCTCTGCAGTCCTGCTGACTGGTGGCATTGTGGCAACAGCTGGGCAGTTTGTCTGGTGGCAGTTTGGTGCCTATTCGATGTATCCTTCTCCTACATCCCCACCTCATCCCCCAACCTTGCCTGTCACTCCATTCCTGGCCCCTAAGGGCCTGCACCCAAACCCAGAAAGGAGTCCTGAACTTTGAGCTTCATTCTTTATCAAATGTTACAGGAAAGCTGATGAAGGCTGGCAAGTCGATCACTGAGGGGAAGGGAGAATCCTATAATCATCATAACATTAATGCTCATTTCCATAGGGTTTTGTAGGCTTGCAAACTTCTTCTCTCACCACAGTGCTCTAAGGCAAGGGATGCAAATAAGATTCTCCCCATTCTACGTGTGAGCCCTGGAAATGAAGTCAGAAGCCCTAGGTTCAAATCCTATTTCTAGAAGTCACTTGCAAACAAAGCAATACCAGGAGTGGGTCACTTCACATCTTGGACCTCCATTGGACTAGATGGTCTGGAAGAGCCCAATTCCAGCCTCTAATCCTATGAGGAAACTAAGTCAGAAAAGGCATTTGGGCATGAGAGCACTGAATGCCAGAGCCAGAAGGAGCATCGGAACAATGATTACAACCAGAAGGGACCCTAGAACATTCTTGGAAGCTCAGCCGCCTTTTACCACAACACACCCTTGTCCCTCTGAAGGGAGGGGAAGTCTGAGTGAGGTCCCTCAGAAGCGCTTGGGGTGGGGGCAAGGAGGGGGCTTGGTTTTCCTGTCTGGTCGACAGTGAAGCTTCCTGTTCCTTCTTCGGCTGCATCTCTGTTATTGCCCTGCCTTGCAGGCCTCGGCCAGAGGACTGGGGGGATGGGAGCAGGAATCATCCACCAAATCCTCTGTCTCGGGTCTGGGGCTAAAACACAAGGGAACTCCTTGGTGCCTGTGACTCTTATGTGATGGGTGAAAACTTTCCCAGAACTTGTGACAAATAGGAATCAGAGAACACCAGAACTAGAAAAGGCCACTGAATCAGAGAATACCGAACACAGAATGTCAGAGCTGGGAGGGCCCTTAGAACACAGAAAGTCAGAGCTAGGAGGGCCCTTACAACACAGAAAGTCAGGGCTGAGAGGGCCCTTAGAACAGAGAAGATCAGAGCTGGGAGGGCCCTTAGAACACAGAAAGTCAGGGCTGGGAGGGCCCTTAGAACACAGTGTCAGAGCTGGGAGGGTACTTAGAACAGAGAGGGTCAGAGCTGGGAGGGTCTTTAGAACAGAGGAGGTCAGAGCTGGGAGGGCCCTTAGAACACAGAAAGTCAGGGCTGGGAGGGCCCAGAGAAGATCAGAGCTAGGAGGGCCCTTAGAACACAGAAAGTCAGAGCTAGGAGGGCCCTTACAACACAGAAAGTCAGGGCTGAGAGGGCCCTTAGAACAGAGAAGATCAGAGCTGGGAGGGCCCTTAGAATACAGAAAGTCAGGGCTGGGAGGGCCCTTAGAACACAGTGTCAGAGCTGGGAGGGCACTTAGAACAGAGAGGGTCAGAGCTGGGAGGGTCTTTAGAACAGAGGAGGTCAGAGCTGGGAGGGCCCTTAGAACACAAAAGGTCAGAGCTGGGAAGGCCCTTAGAACACACTGTCAGAGCTGGAGGAGCCTTTGAGATCACCTAGTTCAACTTTGTGGATCCTTTCACAGATGAAGAAATTAAGGCCCAGAGAAGGGCTCACCTTTCCCAAGGTCACAAAGCTAGTTAATGGCAAAGCTGAGAGTAGAGCTCCCGAGGCCGTCATGAGCCCCTCTGCTGCCACCATCTTTCTTTTATCTTTCCTTTTTAAATATATTTTTTTAAAATTCAATTTTATTTTATTATCAGTTCTGAGTTCTCTCCTTCCCTCTATCGTCCCCCTCCCCATTGAGAAGATAAGACAAATAAAGCCCATTACAAATATGTATAGTCATGAAAAACAAATTTCCACCTTAGCCTTGTCAAAAGAAAAAGGAAAAAATAGTCTTTGATGTGCACTCTGGGTCCATCAGCTCTCTATCAGGAGATGGGCAGCACGCTCCATCGTGAGTCCTCTGAAATCGTGGTAGGCCATTGTGTTGATCAGAGTTCCCAAGCCTTTCAAAGTTGACTGTTCTACAATATTGCTGTTACTGTATAAATTGTTCTACTAATTCTGCTCATTTCACTTTTCATCAGTTCATACAAGTCTTCTCAGGTTTTTCTGACACTATCCCCTACGTCCATTCCTACAGCATAATGCCTCCTTCTTTCTTGGAATATCCTCTTCTAGGCATGTAATGGGTCAGAATTCCTGGGTCATGGTTGAAGCTCTGTCTCCAGGGATGGGGAACATGTGGCCTTCTCTAGGTCCTTGGTTGCTGCCTTTTGACTGAGTCTAAGTTTTACAGAACAAACCCTTTATTAAGGGGACTTGTTCTGTGAAGTTTGGATTCAGTCAAAGGGCCACACTTGAGGACCTAGAGGGCCACATGTGGCCTTGAGGTTGTGGGATCCCCTCCCCTGGCTAGATGCAGGCTCCACCTGCTCTTAGCCTTTCTGGGCTCCTCCTTCAGGGTCTGTGACCTTAGACAGATTCCTCTCCATGAGGCATTCCTGAGCCATTGGTGGGTGGGGCTGTAGGCTGGGTTGGGTGAGGATCGTAGGATGGGAGCATCATTGATTTAGGCCTGGAAGGATTGCCGAGACTTTGGTTCAACCCCTGGTTTCACAGAGATGAAGACTTTTTCCTTAACTTGGATCCCTAGTGTAGCTGGGGTATTTATCTGCCTGCTGGAATACCCCCGGGGCAAGAGGAAAAAGGGTTCCACCATGGAGCGGTGGTAAGTGCCCCTCTTTGTCCTGTGTGAAATATATATATATTGGGGGGGGGGAATAGGCAATGGGGTTAAGTGACTTGCCCAGGGTCACACAGCTAGTAAATGTCAACTGTCTGAGGCTGGATTTGAGCTCAGGACCTCCTGAATCCAGTGCCCATGCTCTATCCACTGTGCCACCTAGCTGCCTCCTGTGTGAGATCTTTAGGGTCTGTCAGGGCCACTTTTGCCCAGTTATCTAATACAAGAAGGGCTGAGGACTTTCCCAACTCCTTGTCAGCAAACATTAGATCTAAAGATTTGGCCAACATTCCTCCTCTGGCATGCCTATGCCTGAAGAATAGGAGCCACTTAACAAATCTTCATTGGTTGTTTAGGCCCTAAGTGCCTAGCACTGTGCTAAATACAAGAGAATAATACCTTTGTCCTCGTGGAATTTATAATCTCAGAGAGACTAGGGCTTTAGGAATTAAAAGAAAGGGGAGATGGGGGGAGATTGAAGGTGGTCCGAGAAATAACAGAACTTTAACTGGGTCTTGAAGGATAGACAGAGTTTGTGTGGATGGGAGTGGGGGAAGTGGGGAGGGGAAAAGGGAAGGAGGGAGGGGAAGGAGGGACAGAGTTGAAGGCAGAGGAGAGCAGCATGAGGCATTTGACAGATTCCTGTAGCTGACCATAATGGATAGTGGGTGAATGAAAAAACCCAACTCCTTCATGAATCCTTCTCTGAACCTTCAGCCCACAGTGATGAATCCCTTCTCTAAACCCCAAATGCACTTATGGTCTGTAATTGATTCAAAACATCTGTACTGATCAGGACAATTAGCAATACTTAATGTTGTTTATTGCTCTCTGTTTCCTGTGTGTCAGTCTTGTTCTCCCAACTGGAGCAGAGCAAAAGCTCTATGAAGGATAGGGAACCTTGACTTATCCATCTTTGATTCCCCAAAGTCCTGGGCATGGAGCAGGTGGTCAGGAAGTTCATTGTTGAGTAAATGGTGAAGTGAGAATGACTCAGTACAAACCCATCCCAATTACTGGAAAAATCAGGTGCCCTACTGATGCATACAGCAACCTTAGTCTCATTCTTTCATCGTCCCAAACTTCACCACCCACCCCCACACCTCTATCCACACAAACTCCTCTCAACCTTGAAGATCTAGTTGAAATCCTTTTAGTTATTTCCCTGACTATCTTCAATCTCCAGTCATCTTTTCCTTCTCTGAACTAAAGCCCCATGTTCCCAGAATTAATGATAAGCTCCAGGAGAGAATGACTGTCATTGGCTTGTATTTTGCACAGGTCTAGCTACATAGCACTCAATAATGACATATTGAGAGTCTGACTCCATTTTCCAAGCACAGGACTTGGGTGGTGATGGTCAATGCCCACTGGCCATTTCTTCAGATCCAGTGTTTGCTCACAAGGTGGGCATTCCATGCTGTGCTCATTGGAAGCTTCCCTTGACTGATAAATTCCTCATAAGAAGGGCATTGGGGGCCATCAATAAAGGGGCATCCCACATGTGTGACAGTAGCTGGAAATGGGGGCTTTTCTTCTGCATGCATTTTTTTTCTTCTCTTGTCCAGTGGTCAGAAGTACCTGACAACCGTGGTAAAGGCATTCGGGCCCCTGACTAGGAATTATTATGTCCGAGCCATCCTGCACCTCTGGTGAGTAGCACCTACCTTCGTGAGGCTGGAGGGGAGGGCAGCTTTCTCAGGGAGAGTTAGGAGCCAAGTTGGCAGAGTGAGGACAGTAATGGGGGGGGCAACCTTGGGCTCAGGACTCCTGGATTCTTTCCCCTTCCATCCTAGGATATCTTCCTTGCCTGATTTTAGATGCTGAGATTCCCCAAATGAGCAATGTTCCAGGTGGCCAGCTTAAGGGCTGGGGCACTGACCTCCATGTAGACCAAGGTTTACCTGATCCTGGCTCTTTGTTTTGTGACACATGCCTGGGTCTCTTCCTCCTTGTTCCTTCATCTTGTCCTTTGGAAGGGTTTCAGCTCCATAACTGTTGCCATGTTTTCTGTGGGGGAAATATAATTCTTAAGATCAATCCAGCCTTCAGCCTTGGGAAACCCCCAGTGATGATGATGAGAAGGGTAGGGGGAGAGTCAACCAACCTCTATGTGATGAGGACCAGCTCTTCAGCCTCACTCATCTAATCTGCCCATCCCTGAAGATGTCTCTGCATTGGTGATTCCTTTCTTTTCTCCCTCCACAGCTTGGCGGTCCCTGCAGGGGTACTATTAGCCACCATCCTGGGCACGGCCTGTCTGGCAATTGCGAGCGGGATCTATCTCCTGGTGCGTCAGATCTTGTGTGGACAAATGCAGCCTTCTCCCTGCCCCTGAATCCCTTCTAACATCCTTATCTTAGAGGCATAGGATTTGGGACTTAGAAAGGACCTACCTCAGAGATGAAAGATTTCTTCCTCCCACTTTCCAGGGGAGGAAACTGAGACTGGGCCTGCCGTGTCCCACAGGCTGATTGTGTCAGAAATAGGACTTGAACCCAGGTCTTTCTGACTCAAAGGCCAGCTCTTCTAGCCTCTGTACCCATACTACCTTTCCTCTAAAGGTCTGATATTCTCCAGGGAAAGGTATATCCCAGTGAAAACATTTAATACCATCTGCTCTTTGGGATTCAGTTTTTCTCATCTGTAAAGTGTGAAGATGACCTTGATAGCTTTAAATCCTATGAGGACACCTGTGATCTCCAAGGGTAGGTGGAAAGTCAGGGCAGTCAGTCAACAAGCATTTCTTAAGTGCATACTGTGTGCCAAGCACTGTGTTAAGTGTTGGGAATACAGATACAAGCAAAAAGGAAGACATTCCTTGCCCTCAAGGAACCTACAGTTCAGGCAGAAGCAGAGCCTTGAAAGGAATGAAGGATGCTGTTCTGGGGTTTTCCTCAAAACCAAGTGTCCAGGAGGACCTCAGCAGCGGGAGGAGGGGCCCCAAAGGGCAGAAGGGTGTTCAGGGCGAAGAAGAGGCAGCACCCTTCCATCTGGGGCACCTTATTCCACATGTTGGCCCCAAGGCAGTATGTTTCCTTCACAAGCAGGGTCTTCCCTCTCTGGTGTGTCCTACCTGGCTCCTGACAGAGCCTGGCTACTGATGCCCCGGCTGTCAGCTTGATTCCTGGGTGGACCAGTTAATGTCCCTCTCCCCTGTAGAACCATGGACAGCACCCTTCACTTCATCCAGACAGCCAGGAATGATGCCTCTGATCACTGAGGCTGGTTTTGTGACTGGTTCAGTGCAAAGTCAGGGTGCAGGCAACTCAAAGTCTATGGCCTTCTGCTGGTGAGCCAGCTGGGTAATAACGATAAGAATAATTCCAGTTTCTATAACACTTTAAGATTTACAAGCCACTTTTATCACAAACACCCCACAAAGCAGGAAGTTTAATTACTATCATACCCATTTTACAGAGGAGGAAACTGAGGCTTGGATGGGTTAAGTAACTAGGCCTATGTCACCCAATAACCCAGGGGGCTCATGGCCTGTGTCCTGTCTCAAGAGAACAGGAATCTGACGGTCAATGCTATCCCACCCCCACCCTCTACTTCTGGGGCTATCCCACAGTCATATAGCCAAACAGGCATTTTAAAAAAAATTCACCTATTTTCAGTTCCAAATTCTCTCCCTTTCCCTGTTCACTCCCCTGCCCATCAAGAAGTCAAGAAAAACAAAGTCTGTTACAAATATAAAGTCATGAAGACCAATTCCCTCATTAGCCATATCAAGAAGGGAAGGAAGGAAGGAAGGAAGGAAGGAAGGAAGGAAGGAAGGAAGGAAGGAAGGAAACATGCTTCAATCTGTACTATGTGTGCATTAATTCATTGTGTTGATCAGAATTCCTAAGTCTTTCAAAGCTGGTTAACTTTATAATATTTCAATCAGCATTTATTAAGCACCTACTGTGTACCAGGCATGGTGCTAAGTGCTGGCAAAAGGCAAAACCAGTGTCTGCCTTCAAGAAGCTCACAGTTGAATAGGGAAAGACAACATGTAAATGGTCCAACTCTTCATTTTACAAATGAGAAAACAGTGTCCCAGATAGGGGAAGGGACTTATCCAGGGTCACAGAGGCAGATCTAGAGTCCAGGTCCAGTTTTCTCCTGCTCCACACTGTGTCTCAAAGGTCATTCAGTCTGTCAGTCAATAAGCATTTATTAAACACTTGCTGTATGCCAAACCCTGTGCTAGGTACTGGGGATGCAAAGAAGGGCAAAAATGTGGTCCCTGTTCTCAGAAAGCTCACATTCTACTAGAGAAGACAAAATGCCAATAACTAGATGCATAAAGATATGTGTAGTGAGTGAAAGGAGTTGTAGCTGGGGGTAGGGGAGCCTCCAGCTGTATTGGGGGAGAGAAGCCCCTAGGTAGGAAATGGCCCTAAGAGGGAACAAAAATAGCCCTGGAATAGAGGTTGGGAGCTAATGGAATGGGGGGGGGGACGATGCTGCTTCTGATTGGCAGTTCCTCTGCTCCTGGGGCAGAGCCCAGCTGATGGGCAGTCCCCGCCCCAGACCAGCACACCCATCCCTGGTTCCCCTTCTTTAGGCTGCAATCCGGGGAGAAGAGTGGAGGCCCATTGAGAAGAAGCCCAAGGAACGACTCCAGGTTGGGGCCACCATCAAGCAGCCACCCAGCAATCCCCCACCCCGACCACCCGCCGAGGCCCGGAAGAAGCAGCCTGAGGAAGAAGCCGCAGGGCCCTCTGGGGGGCCCCAGGTGAACCCAGTCCTAGTGACTGATGAGGTTGTGTAAGGAGACCCTGAGCCTGGCCTAGGACCCTCAATGAGGCACGGCCCCCACCCCCACCTCCCTACTCTAGCGGGGACCAGCTCCCTCCACCACCGTGCACTCCCAGAAATGACCACCAGAGGGCAAAAGACATCAAAGACGGGCACCCCTGTTGCCTGGGACAGGGAACCTCCCGGCCGGTTGTTTGGCCCTGGGGGCAGAGCCTGGCCTATTTCCCGTCTGTCCTCATACTCGGTCACAGTTTCCAGTTGCAATACATATTTTGTAATAAATGCATCACTGGAAAAGCTCTTGTGTCTTTCTTCCTCAGATAGGCATGGTGGGCCGGTGGGGTGGTACAGGAAGAGGGAGTGGTCATTACACATTCTCTAGAGCCCTTTTCAGGGTCTCAGAGTGCTTTCATTTGGTTTTTTAATGCTTATTGTTCACTCCTCACAACAGTCCTGAGGTATAATACAAGTATTATCTTTATCATTTGGCAGATGAGGAAACTGAGGCACAGAGAAGCAGCTTGAATTCAGCTTTTCTGACCAGTGCTCTCTGCGCCATCCTCCATCACACTAGAAAGCTCAGTACATTTAGTTATAGCTCTACCTGAGAGCATGTTCATGGTGCGCACCATGCCCAAGGCCTTTCTCTCTGCCTTCAAAATTTTACAGGCAGTCAACCAATGTTTATCAAGCTCTTCTCATGTGCCTGGCACTGCCAAATGCTGGGGCAGGGGTGGGGAATCTATGTCCACATGTGTCCTTCTAGGTCCTTAGGTGCGGCCTTTTGACTGAGTCCAAGTTTTACAGAACAAATCCTTTTGTTAAAGGGATTTCTTCTGTGAAGTTTGGATTCAGTCAAAGAGGTACACTCAAGGACCTAGAGGCAGCATGTGGCCTCGAGGCTGCAGGTTCCCCACCCCTGTGCTAGGGATACAAAGAAAGGCAAAAACAGTCAGTATAGTGTCCAAATTGAAATTCAGTGCAAATGATGAAACCACAGTGTGGAGAAATAGACAGGACATGAGAAATCCAGTTTCCCTATGCTCCTCTCCCATGATTCATCTCAAAGTTTTCCCATAGTGGGAGAAGACACACTAGGTCCTGCATTATGTGGATACAAAGAAGTGTATAAAGTCTAGTACCTATCCTCAAGGAAGTTACTTTCCAGTGGAGGTGAGTAGATAGATGGATAGATGCCTAGAAAGATGAAGTAGACTGATGGATAGATACAGATGGATGAATGAATGACACAGAGATGGCTGCATAGATAGGTGGATAGATGAATAGATAGATAGGAAATAGCAAACCAATCCAGTATTTCTACCAAGAAAACCCCAAATGGGGTCACGAAGAGTTAGACATAACTAAAATGACTGAACAACAGAGAGAGAGAGGTAGAGCATTTATTTAGGACTCCCTCTATGCCAGGTACTGTGCTAAGCACTGGAGATAAATATACAAGTAGACAATTTTTGTTCTCAAGACACAAATACTCTAATGGGTGAAGGAGAGCTGAAAATAGGGGAAGGGTCCTCGGTCTGGCAAAGAGACTACAGGAAGTGTATTCCTAGAATGATAAGAGAAAAGTACACCTATCAAAAACCCACAAACATTACCACAACATGAGGCAGGATGTGGTAAATGCCTATCAGGAAAATTCAGACAAAGGTCAGGTGACAGGAGGTCCTTTACAGCTCAGTTAGAGGGAAGATTTTACAGAGGAAATGGCACCTGGCCTGAGCCTTAATAGACAGGCAGGATTTCAACAGGTGGAAGTATAGGGGAGAGCCCCGGGAAAGCTATGAGCAGAGATAAAGGAGTGGGAAAACCCCAGGGTGTGTCGTGAAAACCGACATTCCTTCCCTCCTCTGCGCATAAACTGTTATTACTAGGGGCCTTTGGCTATTTATTACAAGGGTCTATGGACCAATTGCAACATTATCTTTAGGTTTTGAGAGGAAGCTAAGCCAAGGGTTGGGTCAGCTTTACAGAGCTCTCTTAAGTATGGCTTATTACCTTCCCTGCCTTGGTTCTTGCTCTGGATGGTGGATGGACTGCATGCAGATTGGGGCCTGACCTCGTGTTGCTGCTGGTACTGCTCCTGGATCTTGTTAAGGGAGAGCAATATAGTCTGGAAGGCATTCTAGTGCAACTCTCACCTGAAAAAGACTCCCCAAACTAGGCACCTTATGCCAAGATAAGGTCAAAATGGGTACATGATTTAGATATAAAGGATGATACCATAAACAAATTAGGAGAGCAAGGAATAGTTTCCCTGTCAGATCTATGGAGAAGGGAAGAATTTATGACCAAACAGGAGATAGAGAACACTATAAAAATCAATACAGATAATTTTGATTACATTAAGTTAAAAAGGTTTTGCACAAACAAAGCCAATGTAACCAAGATTAGAAGGGAAGCAGAATGCTGGGAAATAATTTTTACAGCCAGTATCTCTGATGAAGGCCTTATTTCTAAAATATATAGAGAACTGAGTCTAATTTATAAGAATACAAGTCATTCCCCAATTGATATATGGTCAAAGGATATGAACAGTTAGTTTTCAGATGAAGAAATTAAAGCAATCTATAGTCATGTGAAAAAAAATGCTCTATATCACTATTGATTAGAGAAATGCAAAATAAAACAACTCTGAGATACCACCTCACATCTATCAGATTAGCTAATATGACAAAAAAAAAGAAAATTATAAACATTGGAGAAGATGTGGAAAAATTGGAACGCTAATGCACTTAGTGGAGTTGTGAACTGATCCAACCATTCTGGAGAGCAATTTGGAACTATGCCCAAAAGGCAATTAAACTGTGCATATACCCTTTGACCCAGCAATACCACTACTAGGTCTGTATCCCAAAGAGATCATTTAAAAAAGGTGAAAGGGCACAAAACTATTTAAAGCAGCTCTTTTTGTGGTGGCAATGGATTGGAAATTGAAGGGCTGCCTATCAATTAGGGAATGGCTGAACAAGTTGTGACATATGAGTGCAATGGAATACTATTGTTCCATAAGAAATGATGAGTAAGTGGACTTCAGAAAAACCTGGAAATACTGTGGAATCTGAATGCAGATCAAAGCACACTGTTTTCTCTTTTTTCTTTCTTTCTCTTTTTTCCTTTTTGTTCTGATTCTTCTTTCACAACATGACTAATGTGGAAATATGTTCGATATGATTGTACATGTATAGCCTATATCAGATTGCATGACATCTTGGGGAAAGAGGGAGGGAGAAAAAAATTGGAACTCAAAATCTTGTAAATGTGAATCTTGAAACTATCTTTACATGTAATTGAAAAAAACAAAATACTATTAAGGGAAAAAATAAACCAAAAACCAAAATAAAACAAATGGTGAGATTTCAGATTTTGAGTTAAAAAAAAAAACAGTTTGCACTTCAACATAGCTGAAGAAGGATCATTTAGGCTATGCTTCAAGATCTCCAAGGAGGGAAACCCGATAGACAGACGGATAGACAGATAGATAGATAGATTGACTGACAGTAGACAGAGAGATAGATGGATGGACAGACAGACATGGATGGATGGACAAATGGATAGATGAATGAATGGACAAATGGATAGATCGATAGATATGTGGATAGACAGACAGATTGTAGACAGATAAATGATAGATGGATAGATAGACAAGACAGAGCATGTATTCAGCACTTATTATGTTCTAGGCACTGTGCTTATCTCTAGGTATGCAAATGGAAGCAAATAAGATGGTCTCCATGTTCAAGAAGCTTTCACTATAATCGGAGAAAACAAATAAAGGGAATCTAGTAAAAGACGGAGGGATACAGGATCAGTGCCATGGTGTGAAAATGTCTGGGAAACGGAAGGTTCTAGGCTTTGCTCAAGGCAAAATGGGGCAAAAGGGTCACCCATGTGTGTGCCCAGTGTGCCAGGGGGCACAGTCCAAGGTTCTGTTGTGGGGGGAGGGGTTAAAATGGCTGCTTGGGGGCAGGTGGGAGAGTGTAGAGGTCACTGGGAAAGCCTTCCCACTTGTGGACGTTGGGGCGTTCATCCCAACAATCCTGAATTTCTCTCTCAGTAACATCCCTGCACTGTATAGTTCTATTCTCTGGAGGACCTTCAGATTCTTAAAGACCCCTCTCTTGTCCCCCCAGGTGTTCTCTTCTCCATGCTTAGTTTCTCCAGTCCACTCCTTCCACATTCAACAAGCATTTATAGAGTGTCCACCACGTGCACAAATCGCTGTACTAGATTTTTTCGATCAGTCCTCACTAGGGATGCTGTCAGATAGACCAGGGACTTCCAACAGAAAAGTTCCAAGTGAAAGACAAACTTTATTTTCAAATGTGGCTTTATTTTTGTGGAAACAGAAATACAAAGTCTGGGGATAACAATAATTTAAATAGATTATGCTACCTTCCTCTACTTCACTCCCCCCTCCCGTTCCCTGCCCTTAGCTTTCAATCTAAAGCATGACATAATTGTGCCCAAGAAGAAGCCAGCACTCTCCTCTGAGGGAACCAATAAAATTCACATAACCTTGAATTACCTCTGAACCAGCAGTGCTGAGAACTGAGTTCCAGTTATCAGAGCCTCAAAGCTGACATGGGACCCTTGGGGCCTTCCCTCAGATGCCCAATCTAACCTGCCACGTAAGAAGCATCTTACAACTTTCATTGAGTTTCTACAAAGGCCTGACCACACCCTACTGGCCTTTGGCCCAGAAGCCCAGGGTTTAAATTTCTCCAGGGTTTAAAATATTCCTGGGACTCATTGACCAGGCCCCAAGACAAGCTATGTTTTTCTGTCTTGTAGAGCTTGGAATATGAGCTGGGCTAGTAAAGACAAGGTGCAGCTGTGGTCTCCATCTACCTGGACCCATCATTGAGAAAGGAGGAAGAACAGGGGAATGAGGGAGGGAGAGAGGAAGAACATATCATGGGACTCTAATATATATATATATATATATAATATTATATATATATATATATATATATATATATATATATATATATCATATATATATATATATATATGTGTGTGTGTGTGTGTGTGTGTGTACACATACACACACACACACACACATACAAAACACATCAGAGCACAATGAAGTCATGGAGGAGTGAAGGATGGTCTGTGAGGGCAAAGTCATTTCTAGAACATATTTAGAAATCAGTGACTTCCTGAATATCCTTCAAACACACACACACACACACACACACACACACACACAACCCCCCACAAATCCTAGGTGGTTCTAGCCACAGATAATTATAATAAAGGGATGGGGGTAAGAGTGAATAAAAAGTGGACTTTCAAGGGAAGTTTAAAACCTCGCCGAAGCCTTGTTCCTACCACTCTTTTGCCCTAGTAATGGAAGAGCTGGGCCTGTCCCAGACTTGTGCTTCATTAGTAGCTGGGCCAGGTATCCTAACACGCAGCCTAGGGGGCTTTTTACAAAATCATATGCTGCCTTTGAGGTTCAAATGAACATCCAGAGCAACCTGAAAAAGGAAAATGTCTCCAGAAGGACCCGATGGTCCCAATGAAAGAAAGAGCCCCTAGCTCTGGGTCAGAACTGTGGCCAGCTACTTTTCCTGCACCACGCAGACCTCTCTGGCCCCAACCAAAGCCTGGCAATCTGTGGCTTCATCGGAGGGGAAGCAGCTGGAGAGAAGTCTTTCAAAGGGTTAGTTTTTCCCTTATTGCACCCTGTTCATCAACCTGGGACTTTTCAAATTATGGCAACAGAAAACCAAAGACTCTCTAGATACAAATGGTCAGAAAAACTGATACAGTTTCCCAATTGCAAAGAAACAATATAACCACAATGCCGTTTGACATAAATAATTAATAAATATATAGATACATACATAGGCACAGAGCCACAATGCTTCCGTAAATACAATCTGAGGTCAATGGGTTCTCAGAGTGGAATTACAGCCTTCCAGAGCTGACAGAGAGCAAGTAGGCTGATATAGCCCATAAAATCTCCACCCTTTCCCCCTCTAGGTTAGCCTGCTGAGCCTGCCCTGTGAGGCAGTCTGAGGGCCTGCCCAAGGAAAGGGGAATAGGACACAGGCAGCCTTGGGAAGAGGAGGAGGAAAAAAAAGGAAAATGATACCTGGAAGGTTGTATTCCAAGAAGGAATCCACTAAAAGACAGCCCACTGGGCTTCAAATAACAATACAATAATAATTATAATTCTAAAATAACTCACAAGCTTCAGAGCTTACAAAGGGCTTTCCTTACAGAAACCTTGTGAGGGAGGTGGTGCAAAGATTATCGTCCTCAGTTCACCGACGGGAAAACTGAGAATCAGAGAATTTAAGGGACTTTTCTAGGGGGTACTAACAACCAAATCTGGATTAAAAACCCAGGTTTCATTTAACTCCATGACTACATCATTAGAAATATAACGTCCCCACCCCTACACCCAATGTCCATCTCACCAGTCATGAGAATGAAGGACGTCGTAGAAAGGGAACCAGTAGCTATGAACAAACCTTCGTTCTCCACTTGGCCTTTGGAAGGGCCAACCCCGGCAACAGGAGTCTTGGAGAACCTTAAATTCAAAGGCCAAGAGAAGGTCAGCAAGGGGTTAGCAATCAGAACCCAAAGAGAATAGTGCCACCAATAATAAACCATTGTGGGCCAAGCATATCCATCTGTCCGTCTTAGAAGAAATCCACAGGGAAGAAGGAGGTTTCTTGTCTTGGCTGGGGTAAGGGCTCCCTTGGGCATTGTCCTTTATCTGGGTTCAGAGTCTCACAGGGCTCAGAGCTAGAATGGACCCTTGAGGTCATCTAATTCAATCCTTTGATTTTACAGCTAAGGAAACTGAGACCCAAAGAAATTAGCTGACTTGCTCAAGGTCACACAAGTAGTAGTGAGCCAAGATTCAAACTCAGGTCTATTGATTCCAAACATAGGGCTCCTTCCACCATTCTAGCCCACTTCATAGGCTAAACCACATCACGGAGCTGGCCAAGTGATGTAGAATTGAAGGGTGTATTAAGCAGAAGCGGTAGTGATTGAACCAACAGGACTGAGTTCAGTGAGCCTGCCAGCTCCCACCGCTCACTCCTTAGCTGGACCGGGGCAGGGCACAGGTGCAGCCAACAGGGACATTGATGTATTCTGTCTCGAAGGTGAAGGCCCCTGGAGTCACTTCAGCACCTCCCTTCAGAGCACAGGGCTTGCGGCGGAGTACCAACACTCTCTGATGCAGCAGGATTGAGTTGAATGAAGATGTCTCTCGACCTGATTTCATGTCAATACAGCCTTTGCACAGACACTCTGCAAAGGCCAGCTTTTGGGGGTACCGGTTCTCATCCATGTCAATTCTGTAAGACAAAGAAGTGCATAAGCATTTATTGAATGACTACGATGTGCCAGGTGCTGTGTTAACTGCTGAGGATACAAAAAAGAGGCAAAAGACTGTCTCTGCCTTCAAAGAGCTCACAATCTAAGCAACAGCCTCACAAAGCTCTTGTGAAGAAGGTGCTCATAGAAATATAAATGATGATCACAAGGCAAATATCCCTGGGGAGGGGGGACATTCCTAAGTCCATGTGTGCCATTAACAACTAAGATGAGGGGCGACTAGGTGGTACAGTGGATAGAGCACCAGCTATGGAGTCAGAGGACCTGAGTTCGAATTTGATCTCAGCGACTTCCTTACTAGCTGTGTGACCCTAACCTCAATTGCCCAGGCAGGGGGACAACTAAGGTGATAAAGGATAGGCTGAGAGCACAAAGACAGGAAGAAAGGGAGGTGGAAGGATCCCAAAAGAGACTATTTAAATTTCATCTATTTCACAACTTTGCCTGAAGTTCCAATATCTGTTTCTCTCTCTGCTGATGGGACAAATGCACACAGAATATGCCAAAACCTGTTGTAGGCAACAATTTTGAACTCTTCTTCGTCTCTATCACAATTAAAATCAAATTATTGGCTATTGAGGGGATTGGGCACTGCCTCCCATGCTGGACAGGCAGGAGAGAAGCAGGTGATTCTAACAGGTACTAAAAAGGAAACTCCATTCAACTAACACACTCTCCACTCCCATGACGAGGCAAAAGGGGAGTGGGACTGCCCCGCCCTCATTCCACACCTCCTAAGTCTCCCCCTGTGGGAGAATTCTTTCCCCATGTAAGGCTGCTTTTGATGTCCATTTTAATCTTGCAGACAGCGCGCAATTTTGTGAAAAGAGCCCTAGGCTGGATGTCCAGACACCTGGATTTTAGTGCTAGCTCTGTTGTCAATGAGGTAGCAAATCCCTTTCCCCCTCTAGGTCACAGTAAAATGGGAGGAGTAGCTCACGGGACCTCTAATGTCCCTTCCAACATGCTCAACGTGCTAACAATTGTGTTAAGGTTCCTTCAGCTCCCACACTTCCAGCTCAAAGGTCACTTTTTACAGTTCTGTGAGCCTGATTTCACCTATGCAAATGTGTGGAGCTAGGGGCAGCCTCGTTTGACCCCTAGCCTACAGACCTGCAAGCTGTTTCCTGCCTGTGGGGCTTACCGGTACTTCCACGGTGACAGGGATCGCTGACGGACCTCTGCTTCATACACGTTTTCAAGCTGGAGAGTTGAGCATCGGGACTCGTGGTGGCGTTGATGTCTCCTTGCTCTTGCTAGGCTCCCAGCTTCCAGGCTGGACACCAGTGCAGCAGGCAGGGAGCGGGCAGACCTGGCGCCCACGCTTATCAGGTGAAGGGGAAGCTGGTCGTGGGACAGCTCCTCGGGAGGGTAGCAGCGTGGGGGAAGATTCGAAGTTTCTGAAGACAGCCGGTGTAAGTGGCGGGAGAAGCAGGCCGGAAAGAAAAAGAGGAGAATCCAGGCAGCGATCTGAGGGAGACAGATTTGGGAGAAGGGGAAGATAAGTGGGGGACTCTTTGTGCGGGGGGAACTTACTTGACCTTCTGGAGGGCCCTGGGAAAGTCTGCCAACTTAGCTAGCAGGCATGTTTGAGCCTTTGAGAGCCAGGACACCTTCATTCACCAAGGGAGAGGTTCATTTTCCACTTTCTCCTAGGACTCGAGGGGCTCCCTAGTCTCAAAGTCACCATGACCCTCCAGCCCAGGGCTTCTTAACCTCTTTTGTGTCGTGGACTCATTCGGCAGTCTGGTGGAGCCCATTGTCTTCGTAGAATGAGGTTTTTAAATGCATAAAATAAAATGCACAGGATCAAAAAGGAAACCAATTATATTGAAATGTATTCTGTATTTTTCCCATCTAAATTCTCAGATCCATTGGATTATATCCAAAGGGGTCCATAGATCCCAGGTTAAGAATGCCTGCTCTGAGGGCAGCTAGGTGGCGCAGTGGATAGAGCACCGGTCCTGGAGTCACCCTGCCCTGAGTTCAAGTTCGGCCTCACACACATAACGCTCCCTAGTCGCATAACTCTGTGCAAGTCACTTAACCCCAAATGCCTCACCAAAAATAAATAAATAAATAAATAAACAAACAAACAAACAAAATAAAATAAAACAAAATAAAATAAAATAAAGAATCCCTCCTCTGAAGTTTTTCTGGTAAACTCAGCCAAAGAAATAAACAAAAGTCTATCTCCTTATCCCCTTCCATAAACTCTTTCCCTATACCAATCCCCCCAACTCCCCTTCACAGGTACAAATTCTCTCAATTTCGCCTCTCCCCAAACACATCCTAGTCACCAAGATGAGTTGGAAGTTATTCTTCCAATTTTATTTAGGGCAGAGCTGGGGCGCCCAAATCCATGAACAGAACCCAATCCACTGCAGAAGTGGGAGGGCAGAGGAAAGGGAAGAGAGGAGAGAGGAATCTTCTCTGCAGACTCGGGGTTCTTTCTTCCTCCAAACCACATTGCCACTCCTGGGAGGTCCAGCTTCTATAGTCCCCACCTCCATCCCTCCCCTCCCATTAGTGAGGGCTGGCTCAGCCAGTAACACATCTGCAGCTGGGAAGCAGCCAAGGTGCCACCCACACTAGGCACTGATGCTCTTACCATGACAGGGAACTCCACTGGCCTAGGAGGAAGAAATGGAGACTTCTTGTTGGCTCTCTCTGGTCCCGCAGCAGGCACCTGTCAAGGGGTCTATTTGGACGGTTCTGATTTCACCTTTGACTCAGCTAGCCTCCTTATATTCTGGCAGAGAGGGCGGAACCCACCTGTGGAAACTCCAGGGGAAAACATTCCTCTCTTAATGGCCCGCTCTTCCTCCTTGGTAAGGAAGTGCCCGTGGCCCAGCGTTTTCTCCTCCCAGCAATGATCGGGGGCCTTCCCAGAGGGATCAAGTTTCAAGTGTCACTTTAACCCAGAAGCCTTTTGAAGGGCTCCATCCAGTTTTCTTCTTGAGGTCATTCCACAGGCCTGATCTGCTACCTACTTTCCCCCTCCCCAAATTTGTTTCATTCCCACCCTCTCCATGATCCTGTCTTCCCTAGTCTCCAGTTGATCCCTCATTCCCCCTTCCCCAGTTCATCAGATGTCCCCCTCCACCCCAAACCCATCTCCCTGTAGCTACTGTCTACAAAGCCACCAGCCCTGATCCTCAGCCTAATGTCCCATTCTCCAAGTCCCAAACTTATCTCCTACCAACTACCGTTTTTAAAAACCCATTTCCCTGACTCTATTACCTAGAAACACATTTACCCATGCCCCTAACCCCAAAACCATTTCCCCCCAACCACACCCTCCACGAATTCTTTTTCTCAACCTCACCTCTTTCCCCTCATATCCTTCACTAGCCATATCCTCTTTCCCCCTTCCCCAAACCCGTGCCTCCCATTCCCTCCCCCATACTCATCCATTTCCCACATAGAAGGTAAATGACTTACTGACAGGACCAGGGATATTTTTAACTCCTACCTTCCCTTCTACAGGCAGGCTCTAAGGATCCATGAGGAACAGTAGCATTGGGCAGGAAAAACAGGAATTCAGTGTTCACCTTCTGATTCCTTGAGCCCTGTTTTCCTACCTGCAAAATGCAATCAATGACTCCTGCTCCCTCCCTTCATACCACCTTTCCTTCTTCCTCTGACTCTCTTTTGAAGAGGAGGGGAATTCATGGTGCAAAGGCTGCATGAAGAATGAGGTGCATGTACTGCTTTTCCCATTACTTCACATCCCAACCTTGACTTCAACAAGACTGTAAGCTCTTTGAAGGCAGGGATCATTTTGGATCCCCTGCAGAACCTGAGGCTGAGCACAATGACAGGTCTCAGTAATCTTCATAGTCACAATATATTAAGTGCTGGAAAGGATCATCTAATGCAGTCCCTTCATTTCACAAAGAAGAAAACTGGTCCCAGAGTTCAATTAAGTATACCATCTAGAAAGTGCCTGTAATGTTCAGAACACTATGTTGCATTCTGGGAGGGATAGAAAATGTTGCTAAGAAAATGTTGCCATCATAGAGCTTATAGTCTTGTAGGGTATTATGACACTTACCCAGCCACATAAAACTATCATACAAAATAGTACACAGTAGGTGCATTAGAGAGGTGCAGATAAAGTATTATGTGAGGGGGAGCAGAAGGAGGGGAAGAGGGTATTGCTAGGAAAAGCCAGGGAAGGGTTTATGGAGGTAGCTGGCTTTGAGTTGGGCTTTAATGAACGGCTAGGTGTGGAAAAGCAGCTAGATGGTGCAGTGGACAGAATGTTAGACCTGGAGTCAGGAAGACCTGAGTTTAAATGCAGCCTCAGCCTGGATTTTATTAGCTGTGTGACCCCTAGGCTAGTCACAACCTCTACCTCAGTTTCTTCCACCTGTAAAATGAGGATAAAATAGTATCTACTTCCCAAGGTTATCATGAGGATTAAATGAGGTAATATGTGTCAAGTGCTTTACATACTCTAAAATGCTACATGAATACTATTATTATTATTTTGTTGTTGTGGTTCAGTCATTTCATTCCTGGCATAGGGAATGTCATAACCAAGGGTTTGGAGACAATAAAGGCTGGGTACAGTCAGTTGTTGATTTGGTCACAAGGTAAAGGAATCAAGTAGTGTTAGATAAGACAAGAGGGTGGTCCCAAGTTACCACAGAGCTGTCGTGAGACCAGCCCAAGAGCCAGGCCTCCTGACTCGCAGGCCAGTGTTGAATTGAACTGAAAAGGCAACTTGATGCCTTGGAGGAGGCAGGTTAGGAACCCACTCCTCCCCCAGTTCCCTCCTCCCCAATCTTTTCCCCCAATTGATTCATTAATTCTACCATTAAAATTCTATCATATTACTGGTTGTCAGTATCTTACATTCAGAAGCAAACATAAAAACCTGTTTGAATAGCTTCTTGGTCTATTAAAAACTAAAATCAGGTGTAGGGAAAAAATCCTGTTTAGATTTTCAGCACAGCCTGGTCCCCTTCCTAGCTCTCCAGTCTTCTTATGCCCCACGCCCTCCCAGTCTTTCATCCAGCGACCACAGCCTCTTTGCTGCTCTCTGAATTCAACAATCCAACTGTCCCAGGTGGTTCCATGCCTGAAACAATTCTTTCCCTCCTCACTCTGGCCCTGGACTTCCCTGGCTTCAACTCTTCCTTCAGCCCTTTCCAGTCATCCTTGGTCGATTTTCCATTCCACCCCCTTCCCCTCGGGAGTGAGCTGTTAAACCCTGTTTGAACCTTCATGTGAAATGAAAGCTCCCAGGGCAGCATTTGATACAGGCAAGAGGTGAGGCAGAACCCAGATCCTGAAAGTGGGAAGGAAGGGAAATGGTCCCATCACGATGGGGAAAAAAATGAAGAATGGTGTAATGGGTGGACATCTAGTGATTTAAAAGGCACAGGGAAGACCTTCCCTCCCCAAATATACTTTTCCCCCTGCACCCAGGCCTGGATTAAGGTACTGCCAGCTCTGCTCGCCCTCTTTAAAAAGGCAAATGGGTTAAGCTGAAAACCAATCCATCATCAGGCTCATAGCATCAAGGGATTTCAGAGCACAGAAGAACAGTATTAGGGGAAGAACAATGGATTTGGACTCAGAGGATCTGAGTTCAAATCTAGTTTTATAATTTACAACCAGTATGCTCTGGGGAAAGTCATAGATTAATAATTTTACTGGGTCTTGGTTTGTTTACCTGTAAAATAAAGGTGGCAAAGTAGACATGGTGCCAGGAGTGAAGTCAGGAAGACCTGAATTCAAATCCAGCCTCAGACACTTACTTCACCCTATTGGCCTCAGTTTCCTCATCTGTAAAATGAGCTGGAGAAGGAAAAGACAAACCACTCTGGAATCTTTGCCAAGAAAACCCCAAATGGGGTCACTGAACAACAACAATAAAAATGAAGGCAGAGTGGTAAAGGAAGAATTGAGATCAGGAAGGCAGTAAAGGGGCAAGTAGGGAAAGACAGAAGAAGCAGAGAAAACACGAGGGGGAAAGGAAAGCGAGCATACAAGAGACTTGTCTCTATTCCTCCCAAAACACATTCAGTCCTTTTGGTGCCTGGAAGCAAGGACATTGGTTGCCCCAAAAGAATCATAGAAGCAATTTGGGCCATTTCTGGTAACTAAACACTCCCCTTCCCATGCTCTCCAGCCATTAATTATCCATTGTTAAAATGAGCTTGGACTTAAAAGCTATGAACAAATAGTTCTCAAAAGGAGAATTGCAAACGAAGTCATATTAAAGCTCATTCTGAAATACTAATAAGAGAGATGCCCATCAGAACAACTCTGAGGTCTTACTTCACACTCAGAAAATTGCAAAGGATGACAAACCGGGGAACTATTTAATGTTGAAAGTGCTGCAGAAAGACAGGTCTACTGATCATACTGTTGGTGGCACTGGGAATTGAGCCAACCATTATGGAATAATAATGCATTTTTACATTTTATTAATTTTTTATTTTTGGCGAGGCAATCAGGGTTAAGTGACTTGCCCAGGGTCACACAGCTAGTAAGTGTCAAGTGTCTGAGGCCGGATTTGAACTCAGGTCCTCCTGACTCAGAGCTCTACCCACTGCACCACCTAGCTGCCCCAATAATATTGTCTTTTAAAAAGTGACAAGATGCTACAACCTTTGACCCAGAGATCTCACTTCTGGGCATTTAATCCAAGGAAATCAAAGACAGAAAGTGCCACATGCAACAAAATATTCAGAGCAGTGCTTTTTGTATTAGCTAAGAACGGGAAACAAAATGGATGTCCATTGATTAGGGAATGGCTTAATACATCGTGCTACGTGAACATAATGGGGTGTCGTTGTGCTTTAAAAAGCAACAGGGGCAGCTAGGTGGTGCAGTGGATAAAGTGCTGGGTCTGGAGTCAGGAAGACCTAAGTTCAAATCCAGTCTCAGACACTCACTGTGCGACCCTGGGCAAGTCACTTAACCTCTATTTGCCTTAATTTTTTGGAGAAGGAAATGGCAAAACCACTCCAGCATCTTTGCCAAGAAAACCCCAAATAGAGTGACAAAGAGTTGAACACAACTGAAACACTCAAACAACAGACATAAGAGACAAGTACTAGTGTAAGTGAATCAAAGAGGAATACATTAAACAGAATTGTAAACACAATCTATACATGACTCCAATTACACAAATGGAAAGAACAAAAAAGCAAACTTGAATGTGAGATAATTGTAATGACCAAGAAGGCTGGCCCTGGAGAAGAGCTTTTCTCCTTTCTTTCAAAGGTGGGGACACAATGGGCATTGACTATTGCAACTCAGTTTGCTGTTTGGTTTTGTTGAACTGCTGTTTTAAAAAAAATTCTTATTACAAGAAGGTAGGGGAACAGAGAGGGCTGTTTTTAGAAGAGGTGAGGTAAGAAAAGATGTCAATAAAAAATTCAAAATAGGGACAGCTAGGTGGCACAGTGGATAGAGCACTGGCCCTGCAATCAGGAGGACCTGAGTTCAAATCCAATATCAGAACAGACCCTTGACACCAGTTGTGTGTGGCCAAGTCACTTAACCCCAATTGCCTCACCCCCCAAAAAAAATTCAAAATAAAACAAACTCAAGTAATCTTTCTGGAACTCAGTTTGCCTGGGACTCATCTGTAAAATGAAGGAGAGCTAGTATCCTGAGGCTTAAGATCATGAAGAGAGTGATAGGAGTATAGGGAAAGAATAAAGGAGAAAATGGAA